ACAATGTAGGCGCCATAGCTAACAACGTTTTTTGAAAAATTAGCCAATGCCACTAGTGGAAAAACGTTAAACTGCGGCGCGTCTTTTGCGGCGCTTAAATTATAAGCGCCTTCAAAAACTCAACGTGCGGCGCTTATATGTTAAAGCGCCGTCCCTCCGTTCACCTTTTCTATTATATATATTTTTTTAATTACGTGCGGCGCTTATTTAAATGTAAGCGCCGCAAACGATTTTCGTTTTCAATTAAATTTAAACAAAGCGGGACGCGCGTGCGGCGCCTATTATTATAAAAGCGCCGCAAATATATTAAATATTTTTTAAATTAAGTTCGCGGCACATCTTTAAAGAAAGCGCCGCATAGAGTATAAAAATTCAATTAATCGGAATAAAATTTGGACCACTTGCGTGCGGCGCATATCAAATCTAAGCGCCGCGTAGAGTTTTTAATATTTTTTTAATAAACATTGCAGCGCCTCTTTCTTATCAGCGCCGCGTAGGATTAAAAAAAAATTACCCTAGCCCACCACAAAAAAATTTCCCTTACGCTGCAAAGAAGCTCAAGAATCCGCCGACAAACAACTCCTCCCGTTTGACAGGCCAGATCTGCCGGACAATCCCGCTTGGCCGCTGATAGCGTCCGTCTCCGCCAGCCACGCCGTCCTTGTCAGCCGCGACGTCCTCCTCAGTTCATCCATATCCAGCCTGCGGTCCTCTGCTGCCCGCCTCGCGGCCGGCGCCGGTAGGCGTCGAGGTCCTCTGTGGTCTGCTTCGCCGACTCTTCTCCCTTGCCTGACATTCAACTGGTATGTTTTTCAATTCAATTTTTTTTATTATTTTATTTTATTATCCATTTTTTAATATTATATTATATATTAAATATGATAATAAATAAGAATGTTATTATGTGTGGAGTATGGTATGTATTTTTTTGTATATTTCAGAATTTAATTTTTTAAATTTCACTAATATTTAATAAAATATATAGTCAAACTCTTCCGATGGAAATTTAAAGCAAAATAAAGTTTTTGTTAGGTAAAAATAAAACGAAGCAGATTCTGATTTTTTTAGCTCTATTAGCTCTAGCTCATTGAGAATAAAATAAAGTATTAAATCTAAAGTAAAGCAACAACTTTCTCGCCTTCTGATGGATATTAGCTGTTATTATTATTTTTTGAAACGTAGAGATTTAAAGTAAAATAAATGTTTCCTAAAAAAATAGGATTTGGAATTAAATGTATTATATTGGCTTATTTTAATAGTTTGATATGATTTGATCCAACATTAATAGTTTTGGCTTAATAATTTGATTTGGTCTCATTAACTTGATTTGATCCCACAGTTTGAATTGGCTTATTTTAATAGTATTAGATTAATTTAAATGTACTGTTTGAGATGAAGTTTTTAAATGAAGTGAAGCATATTAAATGAAGCTTTTACTTCAGTGAATAGCCTAATTTGTTCTATGTTTGACATGTAAAATATTCTCTGTTTTTTTAGTACGTAGTAATGTATTACTCATTGCATGTTCTTGATAAGACTAGAGATTTGTTTGTCATGGACCGCAATTGGATGTATGGTTTGCGAAACACTTTACAATTTTTCAATGGCGCCAATGATTTTATCAAAGTTGCCGTTGCGCACCAGAAAGGACAAGAAGAAAAAGGAATTTTATGTCCCTGTTCTATGTGTCGTAACCTCAAAAGGGAAAAAGATGTGAACATAATTCTTCAACATTTATTTGAGAAGGGTTTTAAGGAAAATTATACAACATGGACATTACATGGTGAAAAACGTGTAGATGTTGAAAACCATTATTCTGGAGTAAGTTCTAGCACTTTGAAGCGTAAAGCGGCTCATATTACTACTAATACCAATGCTAATGATGACGGTGATGGGGATGGTGTTGTTAATGATGATCGAATTGATGATCTCTTGAATGATATCCCAGACAATTTTGATAATCAACCAATCACTTATGAATATCTGATTGAGGCAGCCAATACGCCCTTGTACCCTAGTTCTGCTTTCTCCAAATTGTCTGCTGTTTTAAAATTATTTCATTTGAAGGCAAAACATGGGTGGAGTAATGTGAGTTTCACCGAACTGTTGGTATTGCTCCAAGAGATGCTACCTGATGGTAATACACTCCCCGATATGAGCTATAAGGCGAGAAAGTTGTTGTGTCCTATGGGAACAGAGTGGAAGAAGATTCACGCATGTCCAGCCGATTGCATACTCTACCGCAATGAGTATGAAAATTTAGATGAATGTCCCACGTGTCACACTTCACGTTACAAGAAAAAAAACAGCATAAATGGTGCATTTGAGGATGAGAATACAAAAATACATGCTAAGGTTTTGTGGTACCTTCCGATCATTCCTAGATTTAAAAGGTTGTTCATGAATGAAAAGGACGCAAAACATTTGGTGTGGCATGCTCAAGGCCGGAAAAAAGATGAGTATTTGCGGCACGTGTCTGATTCACCGCAGTGGAGGCAAATCGATTTGAAATATCCTAGCTTTGGTAATGAAGACAGAAATTTGAGGCTCGGATTATGCACTGATGGTATGTATCCATATGGCACGCTCAGTAGTCAACATAGCACTTGGCCAGTTTTATTGGTGATTTATAATTTGCCTTCATGGTTGTGCATGAAGCGTAAGTATATAATGTTGTCTCTTCTCATCTCTGGACCAAAACAGCCAGGTAACGATATAGATGTCTACCTTGCACCTTTGATTGATGATCTCAAACTTTTGTGGAATGAAGGTGTTACAACATATGACATGCACACAAAAATGACTTTTAATTTGCGTGCTATGTTGTACTGCACCATCAATGATTTTCCAGCATATGGGAATCTTTCTGGGTATACAGTAAAAGGTGAAAAAGCATGCCCCATTTGTGAAGAGGACACAGTTGACTTGCGATTACCCAATTGCAAGAAGAATGTATACTTGAATCATAGAAGGTTCCTTCCACGTGCACATCGTTATCGTGCACTGAAAAAGGCTTTTAATGGAAAAACTGAGCATGGTGTTCCTCGTCCTCTATTATCTGGTCGTGAGGTATATGATAAGGTTAAAGATTTGGACATAGTCTTTGGCAAGCCTTATAAGAGAAAGAAGCAAAGTTTGTGGAAGAAGAGATCTATTTTCTGGGAACTTCCTTATTGGAAAGACTTATCTGTGAGACATTGTCTCGATCTTATGCACATTGAAAAAAATGTGTGTGACAGCATAATTTCGACTATTATGAATGTTCCCGGAAAGACAAAGGATGGGATCAATATCCGGAAAGACATGGTTGAACATCTCCATATTCGAAAAGAATTGGCTCCACAACCACGACAAAATGGGGTTTATCTTCCACCCGGGAGTTATACACTGTCAAAGACTGAGAAACGGGCTTTCTGTGAATGCTTATATGGCATAAAGGTGCCTTCTGGGTATTCCTCGAACATTAAAAATCTTGTATCATTAAATGATTTGAAATTGGTTGGTTTGAAGTCTCACGATTATCATGTTTTGATGCAACATTTGTTGCCAGTTGCTTTACGGGGACTTTTACCAGATCATGTTAGACATGCAATAATGAGGTTGAGTTTCTTTTTCAATGCCATATGCCAAAAAGTAATTCATCCCGACAAACTTGATGCACTACAATCTGAAGTGGTTGTTACTTTGTGTCAGCTTGAAATGTATTTTCCGCCTTCATTATTTGACATTATGGTGCATCTTGTTGTGCATTTGGTTAGAGAAGTGAAGCTGTGTGGTCCGGTATTCTTGAGATACATGTACGGAATGGAGAGACATATGGGATATTTGAAATCAAAGGTGAAAAATCGTTGTCATCCTGAAGGTAGTATCATCAAGGGTGTTGTTGACGAAGAAGTCATTGAGTTTTGTACACCCTATTTGATGAATGTTGACCCATTGGGTGTTCCAAAGTCAAGGCATGATGACAGAATTGAAGGCAAAGGTATTCTTGGAAAGAAAGTACTAAAGAATGTGGACCATGAGTTAGTGGAAAAGGCTCATCTTCTTGTTTTGCATCATTTAGAAATTGTTTCTCCTTTTGTGCAAAAACACATGGATGCTTTGAGAACTCAATTTCCTTTGAAAAGTGAAGTATGGTTGACTAAAGAGCACAACCGTACTTTTTCAAGTTGGTTCAAACACTTCATTTTCAATGACAAAAATGATGCTTGTAATGAGGTTGACGAAGATATTAAGTGGTTGGCTTATGGTCCTAAACGCGCAATTGATTCGTATGAAGCATATGATATCAATGGCTACACCTTTTATACTACCCGACAGGATGCCAAATCTGTATTACAGAATAGCGGGGTATCAGTGGTAGCAGCTTCGACAGAATATGCAAGTTCAAGTGACCAAAATCCGCTTTATGCTAAGATGTGTTACTATGGCAAGATCGAGGACATATGGGAGTTGAACTACACGAACAGAACTTTTTCACTCTTCAAATGTCAATGGGTCGATATCCGAAGAGGTGTTCAACATGATCAAACAGGAGTCACATTAGTGGATTTTACCCGACCTGGATATCGTGACGATCCATTCATACTTGCATCACAAGCGGAACAAGTATTTTATATAGGGGATCCTTCAAATAAGCGATGGTGTGTCGTTTTACCTGGCAAGAGAAAGTTAAATGTCGATGATTTTGAAGGTACTGAAGATGATTATGTTGAAGATATGCCATCGTTATCTGTAGGCATGCATGAAAGAAATGTGACATATGATTACAATGAAGATGATCTTCCGTTTGTGGGAAATCATAACGACGGCATAGAAATTCACTTTGAAAAGTCAAAGTGATAGCATGATACATGACTACAATTGTAAGTTGTCTTAAATACGCATGTTTGATTTTATTTTTTGTAAATATCTACAAAAAAAATATGTACTAATTTTTTTCATTATGTTGCAGGATATGAGAGATTCAGACGGGGATGATTCGAGCCACGAGGAGGAAGTTCATGGAGGTGATATCGGCCCCGGGCGAAGGGCTAGCGACGGGAGGAAAATCATTGATTTTGCTGAGAATGGTCAGGCAATTGGCGAATGGGCTGAAGAATTTAAAACTTTTTTAGGCAAGACTGTACGTGATCGCGTAGATATTAACATTCAGGGTTGGAAGACAGTTGAAAACAGATTAAAGTTGCAAATCTGGAAAGAGATTCAGGTAAATACATTTATTCATGTACATAGGTAAAATAAATGCAATTTGTTACTTAAGCAAACTTATTAATTTTAATATTTTGTTGTTGTTGTTGTTGATAAATGCAATTTGAATCATAAATGTAGGATGCATATGTTGTTGATGACAAGATGTACACCGTCATTTTTAAAAGGTTAGGAAAGGTTCATCGAGATTTCAGGAGTAGGTTGAGGACGGGCTTTCTAAATAAGACGCGACCAGTTGGACATGACAGCGGTGAAGCATTTGAGAAGTATAAAGGCATTGTGACAAAAGATGCTTGGGAAGAGTTCTGTGCTAAGGCGAAGACTCCAGAATTTATGGTATAATTGAAACATATTTTATTGTATTTGACTACCTTTTATGATTCACATTTTATGATTTATAAAATTTTGAATAGGCATTAAGCGAAAAAAACAAGCAAGCTGCCCAACAGAACATTTACCCTCACCATATGGGTCGATCAGGATATGCTCTATCAATACCGAAATGGAAAGAACAGGGATTGCTAGATAAGTTTCTCCCTCCTTCTGAAATTGATTCAACAACGTCGAGTACATCTACCAACAACATCCCTAGACATGTGGGCTGGTTTTGTGCTAGATCTGGACTGACAAAAGAAGGGCAGCTAGCTTTCCCGAGTAATACGGAAGCCATGATAAAGAAAAAAGAAAAATTAGTAAGTGTGCTAAGTGTATTTTTTTTGTTTGTTCCATATAAAAACGATGTATAAAATTTATATATTTTACAATGTTTAATAGGACAAAGTTCAAGAAGAAATTTCTGCAGGGGCATGGAAGCCACATGGGCGGCATGATATTCTTTCTGAGGTTTTAGAGAAACCCGATTATCCTGGGCGTGTACGAGGTGTTGGAGGTGGTGTGGGCTTTAAACAAGTGTTTGACCGGGAGCCAAGGAATTCACGCAAGGTTGGAGGTTTAAGTGAGGCTGATTTGAGGAACTTGAAGGATGAGTTGATGAAAGATGTAGAAAAAGCATTTATTCAGAGAGGTTTTCACTCTACCACATTTGAGTCTATGCCTTCACAGGAAGTATATGCAGATACAATGAACTCCACTGCACCAGTTCCACAGAAACATTTTCAGTGTAAGTAATATATCAAATCATATGTACTAATTGATGCATTCATTATTTGTGAAATTGTTTATTTATGTAATTACTCACTATGTGAATGTTTGTAGGACCGAACATCTTGTAAGCTTGCTATCGAGAAGAAGACACCAGATGGACAAAAAGATGTAGAATTTATGGCGATTGCAATGGCTTATAATAGCGCGTCAGGAGCCATGATTCATAATATTCCGATGTCTGCGAATACCATTAAAGTGAATATATCTATGGTGTATACAGGTTACGAGCAATGTCCTCTTTTCTTTCCAAACCCCAATGCTGATATGTTTGTTGCGGCGGACGCTGTTGGATCATTTGTAGAATGGCCGAGTCATTTGGTTTTCTTTGAAGGAGAGGTAATGAAATAATAATGATGATGTATTTACAATTTCACAATGAAATACAAGTATTCTACAGTTTTTTGGTATTCTTTTATTGATATTTTTAGGAGAAACAGAAAAAGTCAAACAAGCAAGATGCAGTTAAGGAGAAGCCTTTTGTAGCGAGAGAGATTCCACGATCTATGGTTCCTCCTAGCACATATCCGTTGATAAGTGAGATTGTTTTGGAATCACTTAGTGAAGATTTGCAGGAGTTACATGAGATGCTCGAGTGGTATGAACCTGTACTTTGTAAGTTTTCAGTTCCTTTACCCGTTGAGTTGTTCCACTACCAAGAAGAAAAGGAATTCGGGATCACTATTCATCGTGAGGATCTGATTGAATTTCTCAAGGGCGATTCTCTGGATATTAGCATTGTTCAGACTTTTTTATTGTAAGTATTTAATACGTAAAAATATTAAAAAATATTACATATAAAAAATTAAACTTAACGAAGACATAATATATTGTGTTATTTTGTTGAATACAGTTGTATCAAGCATAAACTGGATGAACTTGGTTGTGATGATGTTGCATTGTTATGCCCATCAATGTGCTCTCATAAAGCTTATCAAATTGACAAGAAGGGTACAATGACATATTTCAAACATGCCTTAAATGTCAATTTCGAGAAAAGAATGATCTTCTTGCCATATAATGAAGGGTAAGTGTAATGTAAAATTACGATTTTTGGTTATTTAAAATTATTTATTTTGACTAACTTGATACATGTTTTTTAAAACTAGGTTTCATTGGATCTTGATTGTGATTTGTCCAACAGTTGATAAAGGCTTCATCTTTAACTCTATTCCAAGTGGATCTAGCTTTGCCATACAAAAAGACTTGGGAATGTACGTATTATTACATTGTTTTTTTAGTATATAATTATTATATGTATTGTACCTTATAACTTATATAAATATATTTAAATCTTTACAATTCTTATAGAGCGTATAGAGTTGCTTCTACACACAATGGTCGTGGAAAGTCAATCAAGTGGCATGATATCAAGGTATATAAATTCAATATGTTGTTCAACAAGTAGCATATTTCATTTTTACCCTCTTTGACTATTTTTATATGCATTATAATTGAAGTGTGCAAGACAAATTGGGAGTACAGAATGTGGATATTATGTCATGCGCTATATGTGGGAAGCAATTTTTTATCAAGGTAGCATTGACATCGGAAAGGTATAACAATATGTTTTAATTTGACTATTATATGCATTGTACTTTAAAAACTATTCATTTTTTATGTTTTTAATTATTTCAGGATTGGTCACCAAGAAGTGAAGCGTATACCGTTGAAGAGTTTAACAATATTCGTGATATATGGGCAAGGTTCTTTTTAGATGTAGTTATAAATATGTAGATTAGCTACAATTTCTTATTTTGGATTGTAATTTAAACTTATCTTTTGTCATTTCGTGTTTAATTTGGAAGTGTTGCTACAATTTGTCTTTGATGTAACAAAAAAATTGATGTATGTTTGTATTTTGGTAAACATATAGTGTGTTCGAATGCTAGTAACAATGCAGATTTGATGAATGTGTATGTTTTGGCAAATTAGGAATTATTAATTATTTAAAATGTAATTTAAAAAAAAAATAGCAGATGCGGCGCTTTTTTAATGTTATGCGCCGCATGTATTTTAAAAATTGAACTAAATATGCGGCGCTTTTAAGCAATAGGCACCGCAGATAGAAAACGTTTTTTTTTAATTTTTTATTTATACGCGGCGCTTGGCGTAACAAAGCGCCGCACGGGCGGCCGAATTTTACAGTAATTTTAAAACGCCATATGCGGCGTTTAAGTTAAATAAGCGCCGCAACATCTGCGGCGCGTTTATAAAAATAAGCGCCGCTAAAAATTCCTGTGCGGCGGTCGGATATGCGGCGCTTAAAAGCGCCGCACTTGTCCAAAAAAAGTGCCGCATATCGCTCGTTTTCCACCAGTGTGCGCATTTGTGCTACTAGCATTGCCACGTTATTTATTAAAATAACATGACCATTATATATGACCAATATGGTATAGTATATGTTTGTGCATGTATCTATGACACCCGATTTTATATGTAAATATAGGTGAAAAATAATGTGTTATATGTAATGTAAAGTTATGGAGCGTAGAATTGTGTTTTTCATATTTGGTAATTATTGTCTATGATTTAGTAAAAACAACTATGTAATTAAAAAACAGTAAGTATATTAGTCTTCTTAGTAACTATTATTATATCCAGTTTGACATTATATTGCAAGTCATAACACATACCAAATGTCCCATGTCCCTTCGGGGACATCGGATAAAATTGGAACGATACAAAGAAGATTAGCATGACCCCTGCACAAGGATGAGATGCACATACTAATTGTCTCCTTTAGAAAACATATAAGCAGATATTGGAGTGGTTAGATGAAAGTGTATAAGTATTTTTGGATGCTTCAAGTTGCTCCTAGAAGTAGTTTTTAGAAGCTACGAAAACTTGTTTTTAAAAATTAATTCTGATTTTCTTTTGGAGAAAAATGAAGATTTTATTGATAAAATAGTAAGAGTACAAAGCAAAAATAAAAACTGTTAAGAATGAGAATTGATTCTGATTCTACTTCTGTTTTTAAAAAAGATACAAAGGTATAATCAATTTCAAACACCCACTAAGAATGTTCTATCTTATTTAAACTTTTAAGTGGTCTATTTAATTATGGTCTTTCCATTTTATCTGTTTATGTTTGCTCTATTCACATTTAGAATTGTTGATACTCCAAATTACAAATAAATAGTACATGAAAATTGTTCATATGAATCCAGCTATTATTTCAAATCCATCACTCGAACCCCTATACCAAAAATTATTACTCATGTATGAGTACTCTTATTCAGAAAAACACAATTAATCGAGTTGTCATGACCTACTAAAAGAGGTCATTTGAGAAAATATAAATCACCACAAATGATAAATAATAAAAAAGACGTTAGAATAAAAGTAAAAAATAAAAATAAGAAAAAGTAAAATGAAAATGTAAAATATAATAAAATAATATGCACAAACTTTTAGAAGATATAGAATACAAAAATAATAAACACGTCATATTGCTTTTTAAAATATACGAAAAATCTATATACACGGTGTTACAGTATATACTCTTATCATTTTAGTCAAATTAACTTTAAGTGAACAAGCTTGCTGCGGTTTATTGGCAAGGCACGGTCACATGACTCACATGGCTGCTGGTACCAAGTTCTAACAATATTCAAGTTAAGAAATACTCCGTATATGATAAACTCCTAGGGCGGGAGTCAAGGGACGGATTTAAGGGGGGGCGCGGGGTGACCGCCCCTTGGATTTTCAAATTTTTCTATTATATATGTAATATTTTTGTAAAATTTTCATACTTTAATTAGATATATACGTTTTCGCCCCCCTTATCTTTTAATTTTGAAAATTAATATATAAGCTCACATAATGTAATACGGAGTACTTAAATGGAGATTTAAAAGAAGTAAAATCTTAAATACTTTACATAATTTAAACAAATAAACAATAGAACAACTCATTGTTTAAGACTTAGGATACCTATTATATAAAACTCTTAGTTTTGTAATGTTTAATTATCTTTATTAAATAATTAGTACCCGATTTCGTAATATATCAACGATATTAAATGTTATACACAATTGTTAAACAGTTTTTAGATCATGTATAGTGAATCCAAAATATAAATGTTTGCTGACACTAAATTACACAATCAATTTACTTCTTACTTTCTAAAAACAATTTGTTGCTTAGATAATAAACTTTAACTTATTTTAGCATTAATACAAATATAATATGCACCATGTATATATGAATTAACATTTAACAATACTACGTATAATATTATTCTAAAACTAATAATCTCATACATACTATTGTTAAGGAAACTCCTCGTGATCCACGAATACCCTCCTTCGTAGGGAAAAAATTCAATTCAAAAACTGATTCTTTATTCTGATAAGATTCATGTGGTTAAAGTGTTAAACAAAGCAGAACTTATTTAAAATGCATTGGTTTATGTGTACCTTTAAACTCTTTACCTTCAAATAATTTGATAAAATGTTATATCCTTTCTTATTTTTAAATAATTTTCCAGAGCACTTACAGTTATTAAATCAAAGTTATTTTCCATTGTCTAAAATAGAGTATAATAGATTTAAATGTCATCGTGTATTTACTCATGAAAATTTTTGAACAAAAACTAGTCATAGAGTCATACATTAGCGGAAAAATTCATCACGCTACACTGGAGAAAAAAATTCGCCCTGCTACACAAGCGGAAAATTTTTTACCCCCTACACTAATGAAAAAAATTTCGCCCCCCTTGACTCGAAATCTTGGATCCGTCCCTGGGCGGGACACGGTTCCAGATCCATAATCGGGCTGGATCAGAACAGGTTGGGGTAAAGGAACTGAAGCGACACTCATTCTTCGGTTCAAACGGGAACCTTAACCTGTTTACCTGATTAAAGTTCCGGTTGTTTAATGTTCCAGTTCCACCGCTACCCTAACTTGGAACGGGCCGGTCAAGAACCAAACTGTAACCCAACCGAGTCAAGCCTTATACATTCCTGTGAAATTAATAGGGTTTGGAAAGACTCATTTGTGGCAAAACCAAAAATATAATGAGGGAAACATTATGTTCAGTTACAATGTATCTTCAATTTGCAACTGTACCTAACTAGGACCTACTTTCGTGTTTCCTGACTTGAAAAATATTACGCGAATCTACGGTTGGTCTTCATTGCAAAAGAGAAGGATTCATGGAACTCTTCATGCCACCTGTTTCATGAAAATGCATCATATGAATATAGATTGATACACACACACATAGCTGTTGTGCTTGTTTTGGTACGTTGTACTAAGGGGGGTAAGCGGCCGCTCTCAAGTTTCATATCTGCAACTCCAATTATCTTTTAATGCAAGTGTTTTAAAAAAGGGTTAGGCGCAGCCTAAATAAGGAAAATAAAACCAAAGGCAGTCAAGGGGGACGTAGTCAGAGACCATTAAAACATTGTTCACAATTTGAACCAAACAGTTGAGAAATTGCAAGTACCTCCACGTGGATGACAGGGGAAACCCTTCTGAAAGGATCAATCTTCGTGTTCATTTTCTTCCTCAGAATCTGTACAAGGAACACGAAACATGACTATATATACGATAGAGAACTCCGATCTTGATTGAAGAATAACAACTATTACAAACGAAAACTAAAAATAAACAATTAGAGGAAATGTATTCAAATTTATTCAAGTAAAATGATGTCAATATCCTGTGCAAAGAGCATGAAATCAATAGAAAACATTGAGATTATGGTATGGTCATAATGCACACCATCTCAGAGTAACTAATCAACATTTTATCGCCTCACTGATTACGTATTCTGATTGATAACATTCATTGCTCATTCTCCCGTGGGGCATATTATGAGCATGATATCTCTTTGATACGGTTAAAAGTCACACATCGAAATATAAGGAGAGACCTCCATCGACTGGATTAAATCCTCTTGTGCGGTGTAACCCATGTGCATTATGGCAGCTGAGTGACTCCAATTCTATAAAATACAATATAGTATCGTAACATGGACCATATATAACGTGTTGTTAAAAGCTATCTAGCCTAGGATATACTCCAAGTTCTCGATTGAAGCCTAAACAAGGTTCTAAAAAGCACTAGACAGAACCATAGTGCCTAACTGCGAATTATGTGGTCAAGTCAGGGTAGGTCCAATGCTGTTTTCAAACTGAGATAAATCCAATCACAAAACATTCAAGCTCGATCGAACAAATTTTGATCATTGCTCAAGCTCGGCTTGTTGAGGTTTCAAGCTCAGAACCAACATCTGACTTGTTTCAAGCTTGAGCTTGAACCTCATAGAGACAAGTTCACCGGTCACAGGCGTGTAATATCCAATGAAGTGACAAACATGCCCCAATAATAAGCCCGGGTCAGGGTTTTTGAGTCAAACTAGCTTGCCTCGTTCATGAATCAACTATAAAGTCGAGCTAAACTTGTTTCATCAAACAAACAAGCTGAGTGCCGAAGTGAGCCGGACTGATTTCTGTATAACACCTAATTGAAGCTAGGTAAGGCTTTATTTAGAACACTTCACATAGGCCCATATTGTGGCTCCAAATCTTTATTCATTTTTGAATGGATGGGGTAAACTGTTACAAAATTTTATGGAGTCTCCTATGACTTTATTATGGAGTCACTGGCTTATTTACCTTTATCGTGACAATTCATTTTCATAGTGAGATCATTCACTATGGAAATGAATAGTCATGATAAGGCCAAATAAGTTAATAAGGGCCATATGACCCTGTAATAGTTATATGGGAATCCATAACACTATGAATTACGGAAAGTTAAAATCATATCAAAACGGTTATATGTCTTACCAGATCGAACATCGTCACTGAGTTGACCCCTTGACTGGATTTGTTTAACAAGCATCCTATACATCAGGACCCACCAATATATATGAAGAACAAGCAAGCAAAACAGAAGAGAATTGAAGATGTAGTAATATATTGGTCCTTCCACTTTGTGTTTATCCTTATCCAAAGTCTGTACAACTTCATAGCTGCAATTAGGAAAACCAAACAGTACTTTAAAATTGCCAAACTTCATCCTTTTTCCTTTTAAAAGGAAAGAACAATGACTGACCTTGTACTCCATAAAATCCAAAAAGGGAAGTATATGAGGCGGAGAAGGACCCAAGACAAGACAAAAAGAACGAATGAAAAGCTCGCAAGAGCTTCGGCACCGCTATATTTTGACATTTTTGCTATTTCCAAAAGTATGTCACTACCATCATGAATGGCTAGAACAACCGAACCAACACGTGCAAACCTGAACAAAACAAACAATAATTATAGTAATAGGAATAACAACACTCATGTATCTAATGTTTGCTACACTTTTCTTTTTGGGATGTATTTTAATGTTTGCTACAGTTTCCCTTTTTGGTAAATTTTCCCTTTAAAAGTACTCAATTACCCTTACTTTTTCTACTTTTTATCTTCTCTTTCATATTTTTTACACCTTCTCTCCTACTTTTTCTACACTATTCACTAATTCACAATTCATGCTACGTTCCTCCTTAAATAATGTGTCAATGCCTATTGTAGCAATCTTTAAAATACGGAGGGAGTAATAGATCTAAGAGAGAATTATGTATCCATATAGCCCTGTGGGGTGAACCACAGCTTGTTTGATCGAAACAGATTGGATTGATGCGATTGAGACAAGCATCACATTCGAATATGCAAGTCCATTTTCGTCTGTGATTATGAGGCCATTCTCATTTTTATCCATGAGTTTCGTTTTTCCCCCTTTTGGCACATGACTAATAGTCTAATATATAGTGCCACTTTCGATCCTTGCCGACCAAAACCAAACAGAAGTTGTAAAAATAAAAGCGGCAATTAAAAATGGGAATGATATAATTGTATTGGGACAAAAAAGTATAATATTTTCCTTTAGATGTGACTTTTTCTTGTATTTCTGACGAGCCTCTTAGTTATTTACTTGTAGTATAGGCCTTCATGCAAATTAGAATCATTCCAATAATCCAATGTACTAAAATACATGTCTTCACAATAAAGCAAAACTTTAACTCTAAAAAACACAAACACACCTGAATATATATGACAATACAATGAGCACGGCGGTAGCAATGTGGTGGCTCATTGAAACACCAAAGTCAGAGCGCCTTGTTTCCCAAAATATAAGAGCAAATATGGAATATGTGTAGAACCCACCAGCATACATATAAAGAGCCTTCAACTTTGACCTACATTTTGAAACCAGGCGCCTCCAACTTGTTAGGAACGAAATAAAAATCATTGGCTCATACATTGGAAAGATATCACATGTTCAAATGTTCAACCATTGTTTCATCAAACACAAGGAAAGCTTAAGGGTCCATTTGAAATCCAGGAAATATTAGAGAAAGAAGGTAGGGAAGAAACTAAGAAGGAAATAAAGTTCGAAGGATAGACTTAACTCAATGTCTTTATTCTTCATATTCGCTCAATTTATTTATCTATTTATTTCTATAATATAAAGACTAAGATATCTGTAATTCTGTGCATATATTTATTTGTTAAAAAAAATTAATCAGGTTTCATTTTCCATTGCATTTCCCAAGACAAATTCAAATGTAAGAAAATAGTGTTGCTTGAGATTTTCCCCTTTCCCTGGGATTTCTGACTACCTAAGGGACCCTAAAGGTATGTTTGGATCCTAGAAAATGCTAGGGAAAAGAAGATAAATGCCAAGGAAAAAAATGAATAATGTTTGTAAAAAACCTTGCACATAGTTAAATTTCCTAAGTCTAAATACAGTATAAATAAGTAAATAAATTGAGTTTGAAAAGAATAGTAATAACAGAAAACTCTTACTTGTATTTCTGGTCAGGCCACACCTGATCCCCAGGCCCAACCCAGAAACATTTTGTTTTGGTGAACCAAGGCTCGTTATAGGTAACAGCAACTGCAAATACTTCAGCTGAAAGATAATACAGAAATTTCCATGCAGATTCCTTGAATTTCTTTATTTTTTTCCTCCGCTCGTCAGTCTCATTCTCTACCACCTGCTGTCCCTTGGAAAATATGAAACGTCTCGCAATACTCTGCAATGTGTAGTGTAAATCAAGACTTGGTTTGATTGCCCAAAAAGGTGTAGGAGAGAAAATCTCATGGAAATTAAAAGATAGGGATACAATGTACCATCAACTGTATGTATACTGTATTGTACAGTTTTATGTAGCAATTTGGTATCTTGGTGCCCCAACTTCTTAGAAATTCCGACATGACGTCGAAGTTCCTTCGGCCTTCTATAGCCAATTTATTCTTATGTGGTACCTTGAAACACTTCCTTCGGGCATGCCAATCCCAAATGCACCATCCTATCTTGTATTACACCAGAGTATTGCTTTCTTCTTTTCAACATAGTTCTACATTGTAACTACAGTTGTTTGACTTATTTCTAAGTTACTCGTATACCTAGTATTTGATATTCAAATAATTTAATAGACATCTAATGTAGTAATGTGGTGGGTGAGATACGGCAGATGGTGTTTTGTAGGTTATATGGCATGTAATTGTGTTTGAGGGTGCCATGTAAGTATGTAACTATGCAAGATAAATGTACTGTGAAAAATACGTCTCTTCATCATCATCTACACAGAGATGAGGTACAAATATTACATAAATGAGCATGGGAACCCCGAACCCAAATCTTAGAATATGATAAAATTTGAGTTCTTGAACATGAACTAAGCAACTAAATCATTTTTTCTGCTTTGAACAAGTGCCTTGGCATGAGGAGGAAATTATTTTGTCATTACAAATTCAGTTGTGATTCTACTCCCTGTGAACCATGAAAGCTTTTTGCACAAATGGAATTCTAACCTCAAAGATGCAAAACAGAAGAGCCAAAATCATGAAAAAGATCATATACTCCTAAGTGTTAAACAGGACTAATAACGTGTGTATTACTACTATAAAAATAGGATTGTCAAATTTTTATTCCCTAATAAGAAAATAAACATGACAATCTTATTTTGGAATTTACAAACGTTTTAACTAGGTACTCCTAGAATTTTCCCTTTTGTTTGTGTTACACGAAGCAAGAGTATAGAATCCATGACATGTTCAGGAAAGTTCTAAGTAATGATACGAAATACTACCTCAAACAAGAACCTATCAAGCAAGAATCTGATAGTGGGGAAGAACAGGACGAACAGCGGAAGCAATGCGAGATCTCCATAGCTTGGGTAGGATTCGTGTTCCCAATCATTCCAGCCCACCTTTTCCAGTATGCCCATTATCCCAGATTTCCACACAAAAGAGTCATAAATTAAATCCTACTTTACTGTTTTATTTTTTTATCTTTGTGCGTGTTAAAAACGGGTCTGAAAGTTCATCGTTGGCGACGGAACAACATGAAGGTACTTGCAGACAGAGGGTTGGATCTACGGAGTAGCAGGACTGCAGAAGGGGCCACACTTTTAAATGTGTGAATAGTATCATTCAAATGAAAAAATCAAATACGAGATGCAGTGATACACTTAAAATACAAAATAAAAAAAGGATAAAACAAAAAGGATCAAATTACCAATATATCACTTCATCCATTAAAAAAAGTAATTGAACATTTTTTTCTGTTAATGTGAACTAGGGCTGGGCACGGGCCGGGTCGGGGCGGGTAATGCAAAATAAAATGGAACCGCTGGTTCCATTTTACGGTCCGGTCCAGTTCGGATATTGCAATTTTCAAAATAGGAACCGGACCTTACCCGGCCTGTTGAAACGGGTCGGTCCGGTCCGGGTTTTACGGTTTCTATTCCCCATATCTTTTTTTATCGTATTCTCATATCTTAAAATTTGTAAAAAACTCACAAAGTTCCAAAAATCAATAATTAATAATATAGTACATTAGCAAGTTTCAAAATAACAACATAGTGGTGCACATGTAACACAAGTGACAAGTCCAATACTTCATAATTTCATGTATATAAGTTCCAAACAATTAAAGTTTCAAAAATCAGCAACACAGCCAAAATACATATTTTCTAACATTTGAATTTAAAAATGTTGTCTAACATCATATATTAAGGTGACACATACATGGGGTGGTAATCACAATTTATATATTTTAAGAACAAATTTTCAGTATTAGTCAAAGTTGACACATACATGGGGGTGGTAATCACAGTTTATATACTTTAAGAACAATATTATAAAAAAAAATATAACAAAATCATTTTTAACAAATAATAAAATTCCATAGAAAGGAATAATTCAATAACAATAAAAATAATAAGAAATTTATGTAAAATTTAATCAATAATTTGAAAGCAAAATGATGTTACTGCAAGTCAATTTAAAATCCTACTTCTAGCAAAGGAAAACAAAACTATTTCAAAATCGATTATCACAAAACTATTGATAAATTAATATACAATATATATAACGGTCCGGGCCAGGTACCCGATATTTTTTTATTTTGGAACCGGCCCGGGTCATTAAAAAAATTACCTGGACCGACCCGGACCGTTTTATGGCAACAAAAAATGGAATCGGCCCGTTTTGGACCCGAACCGACATTACCCGAACCGGACCGCGGTTCCAAGACCCGTTTGCCCACCCCTAATGTGAACAACATGTCACTATAAAATACCCCTCCCTATTTATGTGTTCCCTACATTTGCTTTTGGTACAATATTTTAGGATAGAATAGTAAGGATAGGGAGTGTAGAAAAAGTAGGAGAGAATGTGTAAAAATATGAAAGAGAAGATAAAATGTTGATAAAGTAAGAGTAGTTGAGTATTTTATAAAGGATGAACTTATCAAAAATGAAAGTGTAGGAAACTTTTAAATACATTTCAAAAATGAAAGTGTGTGGAACTTTGTATGGAACTTTTAAATACGGAGAGTAATTGAGAATTACCTTTCTATCGATAGTCCTAGTCCTAGGAAAAAAGTCAATCGTTTTTCAATGAGTGTGATGTGTTTGTAAACTCATTTGGTTAAAGAGTCCAATAATAAAAAAGCAAAAGTTCAAGAACTTGTTTTTTAATTTTTCGGCCAAATATAAGGAAATACAGAGTAGAGTATATCGGAAGAATGAAAAGTAAGGTGAAATTAAAAAAATGCTTTTTTCCTAAATAAAAGTACATAGAGTATATCTTAGCATTGTCTAGCACTAGTATAACAATATCAATGTCATATTTGGTACTAATATTATTTTTGGAAGGAGACACTACCTACTGTTATTTATGTAGAAAGACACAACACTCATATTTTATTATAGCGATTAACATTATTTTTACTCAAATTCAGAGTAATTTTTTATAAAATTTCTTGCACACATTATTGAGCTCAAGCAAAGTTAAACCTGAGTAGAATCATATCCAAGCTAGCTCTTAAAGGTTATTCATTAAATAAGTCATTAAATATATAGAAAATAACGTCTAATAATGCCAATTATCACCAATAGATAAATACAATACGTGAAAATATTTTTTAATGATATGAACAATTTGAAGATATAATAATAAGGATTCACGTCCACTTTTCCACTACAATCCACCATTTTAACTTAGTAAAAGCTTGTATCGGAATATAAAATAAGTGATTTCATTTTGAAAATATTTTTTATTTGATCATTTTGTATCAATTTTTAATGTGTTCGATCTCTGGATTTCAATTTGAAAAGTGACATCATATCATTTTTGGTATATATTCAAAAAGTTATTATTGTTACAAAATCACTGCGAATGTGCATATTACCAGGGGCGGAGTCACTAGGCCAAATTGGGTCGATAGAAAGAATATTTTCAAAAAAAAAATTACACTAAAAATTTAGACATTTTTAAAATTTGGGCTGAGCCAGGGCTGACCCTCCCATAACTCTGCCCTTGCATATTAGGGTGATTTATGACTGATATTTAGTACTACTTCAAGTCATTTTGTGATTTATGGTCGTCAAGAATGAGGTGATATTTTTAAAATTGACTATTTTACCCCAGTTTTTTAAACAATTCCAAAACCCATTCTTTTTTAATATTACTCATTGACTTCAAACATAAATAGGAAAAGGTAAAAGTTGACGAGCTCGTCTCAACCAAAATAATTAGGAGACTTGTTTGGTGTATTCCATTTTGGGGTATCCCATTTGTATGGTTTAAATGAGGCCATCATTTAAATGAGTTGCTCCACTTAAATGAATGCCCCATTTGAACCACAAAATAGGGGGTACAATTTGTACCCCAAATGAGGTACCTACGGTATTTTTCAATAAATAAACACTAATGTTACATTTTTAGCTGAATTATTGAATTTGCTACGAATGACCATTTTATCAGTATTTTACACTCTGACCCCTGTGTTATTTAAAATTTATCATCTTTGACTTTTTAAGTCATGATGGTAAACTTCGATTAATGATTTTAACTGGTATGTTTTTGTGAAAGATAAATGTCTTATACTTTTACAAAAGTACTATCTAAGAAACAACATTTTCATATCATTTTTATATTATAAAAGAACTTAAAAAATGTATAACTGGTCAAAGTTTATAGCCACTCTAACACTTCTCTACAAAAACTCAGGCGACACTACGCAACTCATTTGTGAATTAGATTTGGTGTCGCAAAGCTTTCTTCGTCGACGTTTTTTTGGAGTTTTCAAATATTATTTTCTCTGAGCTTCAATGGAAATGCATAGGATAAAAGGTGAGAACGTGAGTACGTATGGTGCAGATCCTGACCGGTGGTCTTACTTTAGCCGTGAGAGGTCGTGGTGTCATGACTCATGACCAAGACAACGACAAGCAGCGGCTTAAGCACCTACGAGGGGCAGCAAGGGTTAGGGAGCAGTGGGTTTGGCGAAGGCCGTAGTTTGGCTGGCGATGGAAGATCAATCACAATGGTACTGATGGTCTGGCCTCCTCCTAAACCACCAACATGGGTTGAGCGAGGTGTTAGGGTTCCAGAAATTTATCCTATTGATTATTGTTATGTTGTTGCTTGAATTCTTGTTAAAGTTCCATGTTGTTAGCCTTGTCGGAAAGATTGGAAATTTAGCTTACTTTTATGCCATTAAAAGTCCATGATGGTCTACCCCACACGACCAGTGATAGATGTGTCAAGCTCGTTTTGTAGTTAGCGATTCATGTTGCTTTTTCATGTGTGTCCGTTTTATGTCCATTTTAGCAATTCATTTTCTTAATTGTGTGGTTCACTGTCGATGTTAGTGGATGTGATGTATAATTTTTCTTTAATTGATGTAACGTACATTAAACTAATGATATAGAAGATTTCTTTCAAAAACAAAGTTTATCGCCACTAACAAAAAGTTCAAAGATGACAAAATTTTAAGGGACAAAAGAGTATTGTTTTCTTTATTTTATCAATTAAATGTATTTTAAGTATAAATTTTTCATAATTCAACAGACCTAACCAATTCAATAATTTCAATCCGAATTTCATGAATTTCAACCGATTGAGTCAATTTATTCAATTTTAGTATTAACAAAACGGTCTTTACATATAACCAATCTCAATCAAGCAGGTGTGGTTTTAGGTGTAGTCATCTTTTTTCTTCTCCTGAAATGACAAGCATGAAAAAGTTCAAAGTAACTAGAGCATAGAGGTGGAGTGGGACCGGTGTCCTGACCTGGGACCCGGCCGGCCCACCACTGTGCAGGACCGACCCGACCCGCCCCGGTGAACCGGGACTGGGGCCCGAATAGGGTACTTCAATAGGCGGGCTACAGGCTTCGACAAATGTGAACCAGTCCAGTCGGTTCTGACCGGGTTCCGAACCCAATTATTTTTTTTATAATTTTTCTCATTGGGCCGACCTCTAAGTGGGTAGGGCTGGGCGGCTTGGGGGTGGGGGTTGGAATTAATTTGAAAAGACCAAAAAAAGCAAAACGAGACCCGACCAGACTTGAATAGCAGGACCCGGAGCCCTCCTCATCCCGCCCAGAACCCGACCCGACCCGGACGCGGTCCACCCCTACTTGAGCCCAATAATCAATATTGAAACTTGAAAGTAACTACAATGCAACCAACCCATAGCTTTATAAACGAGGCCCATATGGCTTACCCGCCAATTTCAACTGTCAAAATTCACTAACTGTAAAGTTTTTCAGTGTAGTGGCTTACCCATTTTAAGCTTCATCCTGCCAATACCCAACCACACCCGCACAAACGTACAGCCGTTAAGATTCCATCTCCGATGAACTCCATCGCCTTGCAAGGCGTTAAAGCCTTCCAGCTTCGGCCGCACGTTCACGTTCGCCGCAGAAACACCAAGGTTTTCAAACCCAACCTCACAGACTTCTCATGTCCTTCGCGACGATTACACATCCTCTGCCCATGGAAAACCCCCGATTTTGAGGTTTTGTAATTTGCATTTCAATTATTGGTGGTGAAAATGTTTTGCAAGCGCTTTGATGTTATACCGTGCTTGAATTTTATCTGCAGTTTTCAGTTTATGCGCACGTCATTCGATGCTCGATGCTGGAAGGTAGAGTCTTGGAGCTTGAGGATGCAGCTTTATTAGTTTCAACTTGTATTACTCGGACATTGCCTCCAGCTTTGACACTGGAGCAGGGGTTAGAGAAAATTGAGGAAGCTATTGCGGAAATAAAGGAAAACCCTCCTTCTAGCGCTTTTGGGCTGTTAAGATTTCAGGTAGAGTGGATATTCTCTGCTGACTTTTAAATTTTTTAATTGATATATTCTTATGAATTCTGTCATATACTCATATTTGTCAATTAGGATAATGAGTAGCAAACTTTTTGCTTCTATTAGAGTTCAGTACATCAAATAAGACTTTTTTGTGTAACTAGGAAATACGTGTTCAATGTTTTTTATATTCATGTGATGCTTGTACTACTACTCAGTAGGTCCATACTTGATTATGGAGGAACAAGTAAGAATAACAGTGTTTTATTAATAAGATCAGAATTTCAGATTTGAATATTATCCTGCAGCTCTAAAACGAAACAATTGAGTAGAGATTTTTCTAATGATGGCTGTTCTTTCATTTCTTAGTTATAAAATCTCCCTTAAATTCTTTATGGACTTCTAAACATACTTTGCTAATGCACACTCTATTTAGGTTGCAGTGCCACCTAGTCTGAAGTCACTGAGCTGGTTTTGCTGTCAGCCGGAGACATCTGCGGTGTTCCCATTATTTTTTCTTTCCAAGGACGGGGATCATCAAACATATAAATCGCTTGCTTTGGGTAGAACCCATGGTGTCTTTGGAATTGGGTCTGCAATCATCTTTAAGGTTCAATCTTCATCCACTGCAGGAAGATTGAGTGAAATGGGCAGGTAGTTTTGACTCTTCATATTTCTACTAATTTGATTGCACTTACTTCTGAAATCATGATTGATCTATTTTCACTCATTCCAAGCCTTTGTAGCCTAGATATCAGTTCAAGATATAATATATAATAATTTATTTCAGTAATACCATGACAGGATTAAACTGAACCATCGCCAGACTAGATAAATAGTTGTAACAAGAAAAGGAAAATGTTCTATTTGTATCGAGTGGATGCGTGAGGCCTCATTGTAAACTGCCTCAGTCAATGATTAAAGATAAAATGGAACTACTTTTCACATCCATATTTTGTAAATGGAATATTTGGAAGTTTGCGAGGGAGATAGATCTCTCCGTCACTAATAAGAGTGGTTAGGACTTTATAACCTTCATATGAGATAAATTGAAAACACATTAGTTGACATATGTGAAGTGTAAATAATAATTATTTTCTTCTTTTGGTCAGGATAAATTTAACTCGAATGTAGAAGAGGGGCACACTAAATCAGTGGTTCATATTGTGCTGTTTTCTGCTAACTTGAACAACTGATGTGGAACAAAGAGTGTTCTTTTATGAGGTCAAATGTGTTTATTCCATTGAAAAAGAATCAAGGAACTTTGTTGTTTTGGATGGTGTTAAGAAAATGTGTTCTAGCGATTCAGTAAATATATTTAGTAAAATTTGTACCTTTATTCTTACAGGTCTTGTTAGACTTCTCCAAAAAAAGGTCTGATGATAGAGTTATGTACGGGGTAAAACAAAAAGCAAATGATTTTAGTGATTTTGTAAAAGATATTTAGTAGAAGTTTCCTTTTATTCTTATTGCTCTACTGGTGGACTTGTTAATGAATTTTAACAACGGTTTACGACATATTTCATACTTGGCAATTCATCTTTTGACATTTTGCATTCCTTTGGTAACTATGCTGGTGAATTACATTTTTGAGGGCTGATTGCTTTTGGGGTAGTATTGGTTCTGTTCAGCTTCACATTTCATGGAGAATGATAAGTTGGTGCTTCTGCAGATATGTGTACATTGATCCAAAACAAATAGTGGCTTATGGAATTTTTGGTACTGGTTCTGATAAAAAGTCATCATCCATGAAGCATGAGGCTGGTTCAGGTTACTTTTTTATACCCCAGGTATTTTTTTGTCCCCCTCTATTACAATTATTTTTCCACAAATTGTATGTTTCTTTTGATGTTTTCCATCAGTATTTTAAAATTTAAACCATGATTACATTTATGTATTGCTTGTTTTATCGTAAATGAGCTACTTTCTACTTGTTGCCAAATGTAAATTGACAATTATATTTCTGTAGATTACTCTAGATGAGGTTGAAGGTACTTCAGTCTTGGCAGTGCAACTGGCATGGAATAATGCCTCTATGTGCACCCTTGAAGAGGCTCTTCGAGCCTATGATGTCTGTCTTCTCCAGGTATTATCTGAATCCATTCGTTACCTGCTGGATGCTGCTATATTTTGTTTTGTTTAAGGTTCAGTTATGACTTAAAAACTGAATTTGAACATGAAATTTCTTCACATGTAATTTTTTTCATTCTTTTCAGGCCAAACAAAGCTGTTTCATTAAATCAGGTGGATGCAGCAGCAAATACATCAGCAGTACTCTTCGGAAATTTAACATAATAGAGGACAAGAATATTGAAATGGTAACAAGCATCTTAAGATCTGCCCATTGAAACCATAATTCCCACCGGAACTTCGGCATTATTTGTTCTATTATGTTTTTGTTTTTTCTGCTCTAGCCCCAACTAAAAGTCAAGCTCTTCAAATCTGAAATTTAATTCTCATGTGCATTCTGATTGTGAAATGTGAGAGGTTAATTCAAATGTTCTACTGCATCATATGCTTTTCTTATGCTACAAAATTTGGTGACCGTTGCCTCAAATTCATTCCCCTGTAATTTTCTTTTGTAGGTATGCATCAGTCCACTTGAGCTGGTTAGATATTCTCTTGGACCATGCAATTTTGAACTGGTATCTCCTTTGTCCTGGTAATTATTGTTCATCTAACTTTTGAAGCTCTTCTTTTTTAAAATCTGTTAATTTCTACTCTATGCTGCACATAGAAATGGCCTTGTAAAATCAAATCTTTTTTCACGCAGAAAGACACTTCCTGCGGTTCCCAACAGTTCTTCATGAGGCTCTCACCCTCATTAACTATTGCAAATGACATGGTATGATTATTTTTGAAGGTTTGATTGCTGGAATGAATTACTATTTTATAAGCTTACTGTTATAATTTATCTCTTCGAGAGTCGTATTGTGTGAATATTTATTACAGTATCCCTATTGCGTGTTTGACGATCAAAATTGAAGAGCTTTTAGTAAATCGTTGAATGAAATCCTATCTCTGATGGAAGAAGTCCTCCTATTACCACACTGTGTGTGTGTGTGTAAATGGCATTGCACTGGTGTCTTCATTCTTCATTACATCACTAGAGAATTCTTTATGTAGTGTGCTATTAGAGACCCCAGAGTTTTTGTTTGAAAGTAGTGCTAGGGATTCACCGGATTCTCCCAAATAGGATCAAAGCAATGGAAGTAACCTATAGGATTTCATTGAACACAAGTAAACTCTTTCCTGCTCTCCTCAATTATATCCTCCCAATAATACTTTCCTGATTAAATATCCATAAATATATGCCACCAGACTCCCTATATATCTATATATATATCATTGCACTGGTGTCATCACTATCATTACATCACTAGAGATTTCTTTATGTAGTGTGCTATTAAAGACCCCAGAGTTTTCGTTTGAAAGTAGTGCTAGGGAAAGTAGGGATTCACCGGATTCTCCTAAATAGGATCAAAGCAATGGAAGTAACGAGTAACCTATAGAATTTCATTGAACACAAGTAAACTCTTTCCTGCTCTCCTCCATTATATCCTCCCAATAATACTTTCCTGTTTAAATATCCATAAATATATGCCACCAGACTCCCTCCTTTTTATCAATCATAATTCATAACCACGGGAATACAATCATTTGGTATTCCTGGCTTACTGCTTCACTATGGTGAAAAAGACCCCCTTTGTTGGGTAATGAGTACCCATCTATTCAACATCAGTTGTTTACCAGGTTCAAGTCTAGCATATAAGCGTGAACCTCACCTACCGAGAATCCGTTTAGTATGTGTTAGACCAAAAAAACACCCTTCATCTGAATGGAACATGCCCTTAGATTTAATTTAGTCAAGAAACTCGAAATATTCACTGCGCTTGCAATGTTGGGATATCTTGGTGTCTTACCAACCATGTAAAACTACGGGTGTTCTCTAAATGCACTAAACTAAATGCAGCATAAGCAGCCTAAATAAGCATATGATACATACACTGTAATCTGTATCTATATTATCTGACTTTAGAGCGGGGTTATAAGAGGATATAGTAATTGGGTCTGGTTACTTGCTTCCTACAACATTTATAAGCGGGGTTATGTATCTTTTAAATTGGGTAAATAGGTAATGATAAGCTAATTTGTCTCTTGCACGACACATTTATTTCAGTTAATTTCTTAACAATGATGTTCACTCTAGAAGAATATTCTGTCAATACCATATTAGTGGTTAGTCTCATTTGATATGCATTAGATACTTTGCTTGTTATATATCATATCCTAGCGTTGTCATTGGCAATTACTGAGCCATTTCGTATTTTGCTTGTTCTGCAGAGTCACTACAATAATCTAAATGAAGTTGAGTACCTAATGCAAAAATGTGACAACATTAATTTCTTGTGGGCATCTCTTATAATTGAAGAATGCAGCCGACTTGGTTTAATGGTGAGGCTCCTTCTTCAGTAACCAATTTTATAATATTGAGGTACAAACATCTAATTAATTATACATCTAGTATTTTTGTATAGCTCCAGGATCGAGGTCATCTCCCCTAGCAATTGCTGCATCTACTCATCCAACTGCAACATGTATTGCATGCATAGATGAGCGCTCCCTTTCATTTCATGCTGTTGGTTATGGCAAAGGTTCTCACAAACCAGCGGTTGTCATAACATCATCTGGCACAGCAGTTTCAAATCTTTATCCTGCTGTGAGTTTAGTTGTATATTAGCACTTTTTAGTTATTCTTCTTTTCAAGTGTTTTTTGGTTCTCTTTTTCAGGAAAAAATAAATACATTTTATGCAACAACAACAACATCCTAGCCTTAGTCTCAAAAGATATTGGAGTTGGGTTATATGGTTCGGTACATGATATTGGTGGCAAAAAGAAAAGAAAGATAAGAAAGATTAAAAGATAAGGTCTGATAAAAAAAGATAAAAAAGACAAGATAAAGATAAAAATGATAAAACGAATATATACGAAGTATATAAGATAAAAAGGATAACAAACATAAGAAAGATAAGGAAGATAAAAGGATGAAAAAGATGAAAAGAGATCAATCCTCCACTTTCCTCTCTCCAAAGTCATGCTCTCATCCAACCCAAGAAAAAGTTTATTGCTCCTGACTCCTCTAATCCAACCCAATAATGATCATACAATATATTTTTAGCTATAACATAAATATTGCTATAACATATTCCAATGTCATATGTCGATTCATGTTTGCCGGCCCCAAACTCTTTTGGGATTAAAACTTGGGTGTTATTGTATAGATATAGCATACTTTTAGATTACTCTGTTTATACATTGTCAGTGTGTGACAGTCATTGTGATAATGCACTTCAGTTTCAGATGATCGCTCTACTACTCTTGTGACTATCTTAGGTATATTGTGTTTTTTTTCCTGCAACAATGCATGATAATTTGCAGATTGTTGAGGCAAGTCAAGAATTTGTCCCTCTTCTTGTACTTACAGCAGATCGTCCTCCAGAGCTGCAAGATGTTGGAGCAAACCAAGCCATCAATCAGGTCCCCCCAAATAATTTGATGTATGATAGGCTCTTCTCTATTGACAGTTATGAGTGAACTTGAAACGATCAAAATTCGACATCCAGTAAGAGTTTAATACATGGGGTTGATACGATCAAAATCCGACATCCATTAAAAGTATGTAACTAGGAGCTGAAAGTTGAAAACTCTAATTGGTGCTGGAAGTGTTTGGAAAATTAGTGGTCAGGTAGCTAATTTATGTCACAAAATATAAAAATGCATTCCTTATGTTGACTATAGAAGGATAAAAAATTTATTTTTTGCTGTAAAGAATAGAGTTGCTAGTGGAAACTAATAATTGCTAGGAGATGTTTTTTCAAATTTAGCTCTTGTCAACTTACCCAACCGGACTATTAATTTAATTAGAGCTTAAAATAAGCTATAAGATCCAAAATAAGCTCTACCAAACACACACTCAGATAGCAGAAACATCTACATGTTGAGATATGCTGCTTACACTTGGCTCATCATTTTAATTTTCTTCATAATGCTGAATGTTTGCACTTTGCAGGACTTAAGACCATCATTTGACATGGAAAATGATTTTGAAACGTGGAAATCTATTGATTTGAATTCAGTTATTCTCCAATATAAAGATATATAAGTTAAACATTCACATTCTTAATGCTTCAATTGATTTGCAAATTCATGTGCGTGAGATTATACCTGATTTTCTGTATCAGGTCAATCACTTTGGTCAATTTGTAAGACACTTTTTTAGTTTCCCTACTCCAAGTGATGAGATTTCTGCAAGGATGTTGCTTACTACAGTTGACTATGCCGTTGATATTGCAACCTCTTTGCCATGTGGTCCCGTCCATATCAATTGCCCATTTCGTGAACCACTAGATAGTAGTCCAAAACCATGGGAACGTAGTTGTTTAAGTGGGTTAAATGTTTGGATGTCAACGGCTAAACCATTTACTCGCTACTTTAAAGTCCAACATCCATTTGATTGCAGCTACGCTGACAACGATATGGCTGAGGTTTTGCAAGTGATACAAATGGCAAAAAAGGGCCTTTTATTGTTTGGATCTATTCATGGAGAAGATGATGTGTGGGCAGCTCTTCTACTAGCCAAACACCTTTCATGGCCAGTTGTAGTTGACATATTGTCAGGTCTACGATTGAGGAAGTATATTGATCATATTCCTGAAATTGACAATGAAGTCTTGTTCATTGATCATCTAGACCATTTGCTCCTATCAGATTCAGTCAAAGAGTTCATGCAAGCTGATGTCATAATTCAGGTGATATGCTGATAACATCTTTATTTTCTATGTGTGGTATGGAGAATTCTTTAGTTTTAACTTAAGTGAAGCCCCACAGGGAAAGACTATAAATTTCTTATCTAGCCTTCCTGGTGGAGAAGTATTTTATGTAAATGCCTTAAGAAAATATGCTTTAATACGTCTTATAATGTATTTCTCAATACGTTTTGATCGAATTTCATAATCATCTTCATCATCATCATTTTGATTCACATATTCGTCATTGTGTGTGTTCTTTGAAAAGCAGTCAACTAGGGTCTTTATTGCCACAAGAAGGAAGTGTGCCAAAATTTTGTGTTTTGTGTTGTAACAGATTGGAAGTCGTATTACAAGTAAGCGCATCTCAGAAATGCTAGAGAGTTGCTTTCCATGCTCATATATTATGGTTGACAAACACCCAAGTCGCCACGATCCTATGCATATTGTGACACATAGAGTCCAAAATATTATTCATTTCACTAACTATTTACTCAAAGCTTTTGTACCACGTTCTGCCAACCAATGGAGACACTTTCTGCAAACACTGAGTACCACGGTATGCAATTCATAGAGTTTATACTGCAAAATCACTGATTCTAAGATTGAAAGTTTGTCTAGTTGATTTTTATCATCTATTCAATAGAGTATTTGAAGGGGAGCCTGCAGTTACGGTGTTGCTATGTGACCAAAAGATCATGGTTTCAAGTCTTGGGAGCAGCTTCTTGTCAAAATTTGAGAGGGGAAGGCTTGCCCATATGCACCCTTGTGGTGGGACCCTTCCCCGGACCCTCACCTTATGGCAATGCCTTCATGCACCGGGTTGCCCTTTATCCAATAAAGTATCTAATGTACTAGCAGAACATTATAATAAAAACCCTTGCTACCTTTTTGCTTGCTCTAGTAAACCTATAATGCAATGCCTGGTAAGCTAACAATGGAACTTGGTTAAAGACTTCCCCATACACCGATTAGTGAAATGACAAAACAAAAACAAAGTTTTGAATAACAATCATAATATCAAGGCTTACTAGAGCCATTTTTCATGAAGTAAACAGTCAACTTATTATAGAATTGAGTTTAAGTGATAGAGTTTGTCATCCAGATGTCTTTTGTCTTCAATTACTTGGTCACCTTCTCTCTCATTGCTACAGGCTGGTTGGGAGATATCCTTGCAAATCACTTCTGAGATTTCTCTGACTGAACCTTATGTTGCCAACACCATTCTGGATGTTATTTGCTGTGGATCTGCAATCTTCTTTGGAAACAGCATGCCGATTCGGGATGCTGACATGTATGCACGGAATACACCACAAAGTCACCATAATTTGGCTATCAAGTTGGGCTCAGGTTCATGTCACTATATACAAGTTGGTTCCAATAGAGGAGCTAGTGGTATTGATGGCGTGCTAAGCACTGCCATTGGTTTTGCTGTTGGCTGCAACAAAAGAGTGAGAAAACAACGTTCTCTTTTACCGCTAAATAGAATGTAATATATTTTCATTTTAGATATCCTCCAGTGTAAAATGAAATATACTGTTTAAGGGAATGAAATAAACTTAATCGCTGACTAGTTTTCTTTCCTTTCTTTCATCTAGATGAGAAATTAATACCTTTGTTTTCTTCTACATTCCTAGTTGTTTCTTTAGTATAGAAAACATGAAGACGCAGTTTCTCATTTTGTCATGCCAAAGATCCTCTACTTGTTTCCTTGCAGCTTCTTGAGGCAACTTGGGAAACTAGAACCACTTACTCCATGGTTAATTTGATAAATTCCACTAAAATTTATTTTTACATCGTGAGCCTAAGCACAATGTGTTTCAGTTGACTCTGCCTTGTTTCTGTGCTTTTGCTCAGACTGTTATTCTTGCTGTTTGCAGCATTTGCACCTGTGAATTAATAAGTTGTATGTGCATGTTTTCAGGTAATTTCTGTACTTGGAGATGTTTCCTTTCTGCATGACACAAATGGATTGTCCTTGTTGAGAGAACAGTAAGTTTGTTACTATCACTTCACTTGACAAAAACTGCCACATTCATGGTTAATTTCATGAGAATGGATGATGGCTTGTGTTTTTATTTGCTATATGCCCATTCATTCAAGGGATAAAGGTTAGAAGTTCAAATCTCTTGCTCCCCACAATAATAAATTACTAATATTTTGTTAACAAGAACACACTTAGGGAAAGAGGTCAGAATGGGACAACCGAAACAGGACAGTTGGCAAAGTTTAGTGGGATAGAAGAAGTATTAGAATTTGTAAAATTAGGATGAAAAAACAAACTGCCAAATGCTTCTTTTCCTTTTCTTTTGTTGTAATCTTTTCTGCGCAAGTAATTTCAGAGGGATTTGAATTTTTTTTTCATTTTTGAATTTTTTCTGTTTGGTGCTCTACTCTAACTCTTCCTTTTTTGTCTTAACCCAGACTTCTTGATGAAGAATGCGGTAGTTTGTCTTTCTCTAATATACTATGTTATTGATTGTTTATATTTAAAACATTAGTTTCACATTTTCTCTTATGCTTGTTTGCATCCAGAGAAGTTAATTCTCCAATGTTTTCTCATCACTTAAAGCCAACTTCTTGAATTGAAAAAAAGTTTTTTGGCTCATACGTGAAACTGACTATTGTTTCATGTCACTTGTCATATATCGAAGCATGTATTCCATTACTGTTTCCTATTTTACATTCAAATATCAACATATCAAGACGATTCGCCTTTTGGACTGAGGGGATGGGGAGGGTTGTCTTGGAAGATTTATTCTTATTGAGGGACAAACATTTTATCGGACAACAATTAGGCCTGCATTATTGGATGGTGAAACAATGTCACATTCAAAAGATGAGTGTGGTCAAAATGCGTATGTTGCGTTGGATGTGTGGACATACCAGAAACGACCACTTGAGGAATGAGATAGTCAAACCAAAGATGGGAGTAACACCTATAGAAGATAAGTTGCATGAGTCTCAATTGTGCTGATTTGGTCATGTGCGTAGAAGACCGGGTGATGCACCTGTTAGAAGAATTGAGAAGAGGCAGGGTGGAGAGGGAGAGGAAGACCCAAACAAGCGTGAATTACAGGAATTCGGAGTGATATGCTTCTTCTTGGGTTGGATGAGACTCTTTTCGTGGAGGACGAATGTTCGTGTGGAGGAATGGTCTCTTTTTCTCTCTCCTTTTCTTTTATCTTTTTATCTTCCTTACCTTTCTTATGTTCTTACATTATTTCTATCTTTTATCTTTCTTATGTTCTTTTATCTTATATTGATCTTAATACTTATCTTATCTTTTTATTTTTCATATCTTTTTTTTCTTTGGCTCCGATGTCATGTATCGATTCATGTAAGTTGGCTCCAAAATCTTTGGGAATAAGGCTTGGATGTTGTTGTTGTTGATGAGCTAGATACTTATTGCTATAGTAAGCCCTTGGTTTTGTTGTCTTAGAATAGTTGATAAGGTGATATATTAAGTTTCGCTGTCTTTTTTTAAATTTTGGAAAGTAGTTTACAAGTTTGTGCTCCTAACTAATTAGATTTTTGTGGAATTTAAAGGATTCCACGAAAACCAATGACAATACTGGTCATAAACAACCATGGTGGTGCAATCTTCAGTTTTCTCCCTGTGGCAGCTAAGACCGAAAGAAACATTTTAGACCAGTACTTTTACACATGTCATGATGTTTCGGTGCAGAATCTATGTCTGGCACATGGGTAAGATCATTGTGCTTATAGTAAAATACAGTCAACTGCTTTTTTTTACCATTTTTATATATTTTTTATCTAGTTGTTTCCTATTTGATTATTATTTTATATATATGCAGTGTGAAACATGTGAAAGTAAGTACAAAGATGGACTTAAGAGATGCTTTATTGACATCTAAATCACAACATGTAGATTGTGTCATAGAAGTTAATAGCTCCATTGAGGACAATGCACACTTTCATAGGTATAATTAAAGAAATTTATACTCAGCCAAATCTATGCTGCTGCATTTCTCTGATGATACATTTAATTCTGTTATAGTACTTTGAGAAAATTTACATGGCAAGCAATGAATCATGCTATGGACAGCCTTTCAAGGATTTCAATTCCAGATTCTATATTTAATGGCTCTGTGCTCTACGAAGTTGGTAAAATGGAATATTCACTTTACAGGTGAGGTTATAAATATCACATTGATATATGGCCAGAATCCAAAAAAAATATTTTTTGAAATCTGTTTCATTACAGAGTTCAGTTGTGTTCGCCTCCTACTTCAGCTTCAGCCAATAACAAATCTTCTGCCTTCTTCCGAGAAGGCTTTATAATAAGTTTGTCACTTACTGATGGTAGCATTGGCTTTGGCGAGGTGAACTTACTATTAGCTTTGCACCTTTTTTTTGTTTAGGGGTGGGGGATTTGTTCGTGTCATGGATCAACTTTGAAAAACAGATGATGTATAATTAACTATTTATTCCGCAAAAGAACAAGGAAAATATATGGTTTATGTCAAAAGTATCTGTATCTATCATCTTTCTATGATGAAGCTGGTATTGCAGCTCTCTGTCATTGATATCAAGCTTTATTAAAATCAAGAAGACTTTTCTTTTATTTGTTTTATGTGGCACTACCAAACAGGTTGCGCCTCTAGAGATTCACAAAGAAAACCTGTTTGATGTTGAAGAGCAACTTCTATTCCTCACTCACGCCATAGGCGGCGTAACAATAAAACAGTTTCTTCCTTTGTTGAAGGGTTTATTCTCTTCTTGGTTGTGGCGTTCTTTAGGAATTCCGGTATGTACATGTCTCTTTATTATTCACCTAATGAGGCCAAGTGCAATCGCATGCTATACTGTATGGTATTTCTTTTCTAATAGATTTCTCTTTTCAATTCACTTGTAGACAGGTTCAATATTTCCTAGCGTCCGATGTGGCCTGGAAATGGCTGTCCTCAATGCTATTGGAGCTAGTGAAGGTTCAAGCTTGTTGAATATATTATGTCCTCAAACAGTGGAGTTTCCTGGGAGGTCATTATTAGATGTCAAAATTTGTGCACTTCTTGACTCTAATGCCCCCCCTGAAGAGATCGCTAGTATAGCAGCTGATCTTGTTAATGAGGGGTTTGCAGCTTTAAAGCTAAAGGAAAGATTATTTATCTATTTATTTATTTTATTGCCATAGCAAGGTGATTTTTGCACTTTTTCAACAGAGAAAATGAGCACAACCTGAAATTTGTGTAATCCATTTAATCTTATTGATTTATTCAGCATTTTCAGAGTCATATTCTTAGAACTATTGATCATACTTATTGAAATAATGAGTATTGTTTCTTTTCCTTTTCTTTTCATATAGGTTGCACGACATCATGACCCCAATTATGATGCATTAGTTATACAAGAGATAAGAAAGAAAGTAGGTGAGGAAGTTGAAATTCGGGCTGATGCGAACAGGAACTGGTCCTATGAAGAAGCCATTCAATTTGCCCATTCTGTAAAGAATTGTTGTCTGCAGTATATTGAGGTATGAACAAATCATAAGCTAAATTTTCAGCTCAGCACATGTAGGAACTTATCTGTTGCAGGTGTATCAGTGGAAACTAGATGTAGAAATATTGAAGTAGATGTGAAATACTGAATGTAATAAGAATTTCTTTTATGTAAAAAAAAACCTTGATGTGTATCAATTGATGGCGAGGCCTGCTTTACTCCCCAGATCTGGGTTGTGAGCTATTTGGTACATGTATGTGCCAGCGTTTAACATTCATCATCACTTATCGGTGACAAGAAGTTTCTAGTGTTGGTTGTCTTAAACTTGATGCGAAGAAGTATAGTGACAAAGCTTTACGCCTGGTACCTTTCTGTCACAGCCATCTAAAGGAGTAATGAAATGAAACTCCAAAACCGTCATCATCATAAGAATGCTCCAATTGCATCAAAACTGTCATGGGGTGGTGGTGAACTGGTGATTTGGGATAGTGACTATAGCCATGTCCTATTGCAAAAGTGATGTTGTAAAATCAACATGCACATCGTGGAAAATGACTTTAGGGACAGAAAAGTATTGCTCCCTCCGTCCCAAAATAAAAGTACTTGTTTCCTATTTGGTTACTTACCTTTTCATTGCTACAGCAAAAGTAAAGGGCAGTTTTGTTTTTTTATCCCACTTTCTTAACCTGCATGCCCAAAAGTTTTGCAAGTAATATTTGGGACGGAGGTAGTATTATACTGTTAAAAAAGATGACATTTGGTGTTCATGAATTTCAAGAAGACAAATATTTTATGGTAGCAGAGCATTGAATTGGTTAAAACTTGGTTCACAACAAACCATGCATTTCTTTTTTCAGTTATGTACTTATGATCAACTAGCGATATGTACTACCGTACTTATGCCTTTAAGTTATCGCTTCACATTCTCAGACCATGGTGACATTTTTTGCTCATTAATTAGAAAAACATTTCAAATTCATTTATTTCAGGAACCTGTTAAAAATGAAGATGATATTATCAGGTTTTATGAAGCAACTGGCTTACCTGTGGCACTTGATGAAACCATCAACACTGATAGAGAAAATCAGTTTGAATTGCTCTCGAAGTACACACATCCTGGGATAGTTGCATTTGTAAGTGGGTTAAGCTTGCTGTTCCCACTCAATATACTCCCATACGGAACCATCTAGCTGGGTCTATTTTTTAATTGTATGCAATGAAAAAGCATACATGACTAGAAAATATATCCAATCTAGGTAGCACGGTTTATCAGTCTCGAATGCCCATTTTCACCAAAGCAGAGTTGTGTGCTGAGACTTTTTATTTCTAAAAGAGTTGATAAGGCTGTCCTTGCTCTTTTTCTATAATTACGTGATGATAATTGTTTGGATCTTTATAACAGAGCCTGGTGCATAGATAAATCTGTGAAGTTTATTCATTGATTTTGGTAACCTATTGTAAAACAATTCTTCAAATTTCATTAATATAGGTCAGTGGTTAGAGATCGACTGTTGCAAAAAGTTTTCCCTCTAAATGCCTCCATTTGCTCCTTTTTGCGTGTCTTGCTTGTGAATGAGAGAGACAAGATTTTAGCAATGTAATTATATATAAGTATTCAATGTAGATTTAGCTAATAAAATTTATGTGTTTAGTATTTAGATAAACCTTCCTATTTTTGCCAATCACAAAAACATTAGCATTTCTCTTAATTTGAACTCTGCTAACTTTTTATTTTCCCACTTTATCCTATTATCATTTCCCTTTTTCACTTTTTATGGACCAATGTTACTTTTTCTTTCTTTTACAAGGTTAAAATGGTAAAATAACAACTATCTTTTTTATTGTCTTAAAACTCATGCCAAATGTAATCATATCTTACATTTTGGGACAGACGGAGTACAACAAAACATTATATCATGCAAAAAAGGATGAATTAGTTTTTTAGGAAATGAGTGAAGAAAGAAGAGTTAACTTGACCAATAAAAGTTAATTGAGAGATACACAAATGGGAGAAAGGGTCTGTTGTAAAGCTTTCAGCCTCAAGATGGGCCTGGGAGCCTGATAATCACTGTTAAGTAACTTAGGGAGTGTTTGCAATTGCTTCAACTTTAAAAAAGTGATTTTTTAAAGTGATTTTGGGAAAAGTGATTAATAGTAAAAGTTGGTAGTGTTTGAGAAAAAAGTGATTCTGAAAAAGTAAAAGTTGGTAGTGTTTGGTAAAATAAGTACTTTTTGTGTAATAGAAAAAGTGAGAAGCAGTTTAAAGCACCATTCTACCTGCTTCCAGCTTTTAGCTTTTAAGTGATTAATTTAAGCAGAAGCTATCATTTGAAAACACTCTTTTCAACTTTTTTTAAGCTAAAAGCTGAAAAGCGCTTTTTTTAAGCAACCTCAAACACTCCTTTAGTGTTGTACATAAATATATATTCAAACATAAAAGGTCTATCAAACATAAAAATCAAATTACAAAAATAAAGAAAATAAGTGAAAAGAAAAATTTGGTTTGATCAATAAATAGCAAAACATTTAAATCTGAAAAGGGAGTATTGTTATACACTTATGCCGTTAGGCTCAAATTGGAGCCTGTTCAGTGGTGTTAAAAAAGGATTTCAGATGAAGTCACATTTTTTAAATGCAAATTGAAAATTCAGTTCAGCCAGTTGTTAAACTTTTGAGCTGCTAACCAAATATATAAATTGTTGGTAAAGTGCAAAATTCTACTGATATATGTTCTGAATGATGGAATAAAGCAAAATGGTTCACCAAACTGTCTGCTCTTCTTTGTTATGAAGCAGCAGCCAGTCCATGAAATTTTGGACGCGATTTTCATTATGGGTCATCCGGAAACAGTCTCTATGTGCTTTAGTACAGGGGTAAGACTGCGTACATCTGACCCCCCCTTACCCCACCGTAGGTGGGAGCCTTTGCGGCACTGGGGTAAATGATGATTGATATATATGTTCAGTCTATTACTCTATTCTTATAGATTTTTCTAAATGTAGATCATTTTGTCATAATAATGCTCTCAGGTAATCAAGCCAAGTGTAATTGGTGGCTTTGAAAATGCAGCATTGGTTGCCCGATGGGCTCAGCTGCTGGGGAAGAGTGCTGTTATCAGTGCCACATATGAAACTTCATTGGGTTTATCAGCGTATGTTCAATTCTCATATTTTATTGACCTTCAAAACCTAGATATACTCCGGATAGCTAATAAGGAAGTGAGGCCGTCAATTGCCCATGGCCTTGGAACTTACAAATGGTTCAAGGAAGATGCGAGCACACAGAATTTAGTAACTCGCCGTAATTCAACCAATGGCTTTATGGGGTCACCTATTGCTGATGCAGATAGACTCCTGAAGGAGTTTCAGTTCAATAAGAATGCACTTGTTCGGGATTTTGCTCATGTTGAAGTTCAAACATATCAGCAGAAAATTTATCTAGACAGTGTCTCCATCTCTATTAATGTCCATGAGATTGGGCCAAGTGAAAATGTAGGTAACTTTAGTTGCTGAGCCCCTTTTATGCAATTTTTGAAATAGTCCACTTTTTCCCTCCGGTATTAGGTTATCTGCGATTTTGGCTCCACACTTTCATTTTCTTCACCTATGGTACGCAGTTACGCACCTATATATTTCTTGTCACTTCTAGTCCTTCCGGCCAATTTCGCACAATTTCAGGCTAATGTTTGCTTAGTAAGTGACCGAAAGGAAACACATTGTAAGAAGCCATTGTGGGAAAAATTAAAGTCATTGACCAAAAGTGAGAGTTCCCATTTTTTTCAAATTAAATAGTTTTTGCTATTTTATTCATCTTATTCTTTTTTCTTATTACTTACTCTTATACTATGTCAAAGATATTCACACCAGATCAGAATGATTTAGATCTAAATACTACGTAGTACTATGTATATTTTAGAATTTCAGAGAATGAAATTTGTCAAGATCATATTAGAAATGTTAAGACCAGACCATACAAAATCCATACCAGATAACCTTCTCTCTGGTAAAGAGAACAAGTGCTTTTCACCTAAACATGAAACAATATCTTTCCCTCAAGAACTTTTGCCTTTGAGAACAGTGTTCTAAAAAGTGTTACACACCAAGTACGAGAGAGGCTGTGGCTAGCTCTTTGGTGGGGCTTTGGCAGGGCAAGCCAGGTCCTGCTCAGAAGGTAGGGATTAAGCATCCAAGCGAGTTTAGCATGTAGTCGGAGATTTTTAAAGCAGAGCTTGAGAACATTTTTTTTTATTATTATGAAAAAAAAACACTTGATGATATATCCACCTATACATATTATTATGAATCATCCTACTCATAGTGTCTTGATCTTTCAAATTTAGCAGAACACACTACTATCTCTGTGCAATTGAATTTGAGCTTGATGATATATCCACCTATACAAGCATGCAAGAGTGAAGAATAAAGCAGACACACTTATATAACTCTGATTTTCTTGGACTCGAGCAGGATATTGTTCTAGTTTTTCTGCATGGTTTCCTTGGAACTGGTGAAGATTGGATCCCAATCATGAAAGCCATTTCGGGCTCTGCCAGATGCATCTCAATTGACCTCCCGGGCCACGGAGCCTCACATTTTGTAGATTGGGTTGGTGAAAATGCTATGGCCGAATCAACTTTTTCAATTGAAGCCATTGTCACAATATTGTGCGATTTGTTTGACTATTTACATCTTAAGAAAGTGATCCTTGTTGGGTACTCCATGGGAGCCAGGATTGCTTTATACATGTCACTAAGATGCAGTGCAATGGTGATATATAAAACATACAGTTCAGTACTGTTCTTTTCCCCCAAATAAAATTTGATTAATATCTGATTCCAACGTTTTGTTTTTTAAGATTGAAGGAGCTGTCATAGTCTCTGGAAGTCCCGGATTGAAAGATTTAGCTGAACGAGAAATGCGTAGGGCTAAGGATGACTTTACTGCATCTTTCCTGGTTTCTTCAGGTCTGGAATCTTTCCTGGACATTTGGTATGCTGGTGACCTCTGGAATAGGTACATTTGTACAAGTTAAGATCCACCCTGTATGTTTTACTATGGTACTTGAACAGTGTGGGATAGAGTTTGACCACTTCATAATGTAACTTTGTATTCTGCAGTTTAAGATGTCATCCACATTTCAAGAAAATAGTTTCCAACCGCTTGCGACATGCTAATCTGGAAACTCTTGCCAGGGTTCTATCTGACTTGAGCATTGGCAGGCAGCCGTAAGTTAAACTATCTTTATAATATGTCAGGGGCGGGGGTGGCCTGGCCCACCCAAGTTTGGTCCATACAACAACATCCAAGCCTTATTCCCAAAAGATTTTGGGGACGACTAACATGATACGATCCATGAAATCAGAGCCAAAAAGAAAAGAAAAACTCAGTATAAGAAAAAAAAAGTTAAGATAAAGAGATAAAGATATATATAAGATAAAAGAACATAAAAAGATAAACTTAACATAAGAACACAAGAAAGATAAAGAAGATAAAAAGATCAAAGGAAGAGAGAGATCGAGAGAGAGAGAGATTTCTAAAAAGTATCATGAATGCATCTTCTTACCAACCACAAGTTTGAATTTAGAGGAGCCCTGGCTCCGCCCCTTACCTGGGTCCTAGTCTACCATCTAACAGTTTTTTAACACATACCCTTTTGTTTGTGGCATGGAAGAAAGTATAGAAGAAAGAAAAAGAGCATAAATGATTGAGAAAAACGAGAAAATGTGAGAAAGAGAGTGGGTTAAATGTGCTGTTTTTGTATGGGAGAAATAGAAGAAAAAGAAATGCATGTATTTTGCCAAAAGATAACATGCCCGTGTATTAATAATGGTAGGAGGAAAAGTGAGAGGATACATCCATGTTTCCTTTCTTCCCATGTGAGGAGAAATTGCAAAAAGTGGTGTGACCTACCTATTTTTATCTATCTTTGTGACATCCATGTATAGCATTTTTCTTGATTTATCTATCTTTGATATTAGATCATTGTGGGATGACCTGAAGCGCTGCGAACTACCACTTGTGTTCATTGTTGGAGAAAGAGATGCTAAGTTCAAGGCCATTGCCCAGAAGATGCATGACACAATCACGGATCAAAATGGAAGTGGTGAGCATTGGTCTGAAATAGTTGAAATTCCTTATTGTGGGCATGCTGCACATCTTGAGAACCCTCTGCCTGTTATCAGTGCAATAAGCCGTTTTTTGAGAAAGTTGAAGAACTAAAAAAGAAACAGATAATTTTTTTCAGAAAGTTGAAGAGCTAAAAAAGAAACAAATAATTTCAACTTCGACCTACCCAAATCGTTCACAGATTCTGGTGGTACAATACAGAGTAATATGCGAGTGATTAGCTTCATTATGTTTTTGTTCATATTTTAATTTAGTTTCATTTTCATTTGTCTTCTCACAGTATTCATGGAAACATTTTATTGCGACATACTGAAATGAGCATGTGTTGCATTAGAGATGAACGTGAGATTGTGAAATAGTGATGCTATATGTATTTCTCTTTATGGATTGGATACGTTAAGTTTCATCTTTAATGGAAGTAAGGATGGCAATGGGGGCGGGGACCCGTGGGGAACCGCCCCGCGGGGGAAGGATGGGGTGGGGCTTGGGTGGGGTGGGAGCGGGGATATGGGTGGACCGGTTCCGGTTCGGGCCCGGTCAGGCCTCGGTTCAGAAATGGGAGGCCCGGAACCGGCCCGGGTAATCCCGGGTCCGGGCCGGGCCTCGGTTCTTTTTTTTTTTTTTTTTTTTTGGCTTTTCCTAATTAACCCCCAACCCTCCCCCCTCACCCCAAACCACCCCAAACCACCTCAAATGGCCCAAAATACCAAGCCCAACCCAAAAACTTAAAAAAATTCAAAAAAAAAATAATTTGGCCCGAACCGGCCGGGCCGGTTCGCCAATCAAAGGGCCTGGGCCCAAACCGCACAGTAACCGGGCCGGGCCGAACCGAACCCCCCCGGACCGGTTCCCGGGCCGGGCCGGTTCAAACAGTAACCGGGCCGGGCTGCCCGGCCCGAGTCCATCCCTAAGCGGGGATGGGTGAAATATTTTTACGCCGTTAAAATATGGGGCAAGGGACGGGTATTGCTACACCCGCCCCATCCCCGCCCCGTCCCCGTTATAAATATATACTCAAACATATATATACATACACATATATAAATAATGTACACACATATTAAATTAAATTATTTGTAGTATATAACAAACGCATATACATATAGACATACATAATTGTATACGGTTTAATCATGGTTAATGAATTAATACATATTATACTAGAATAATAATAAGCTAGCGATGATTAAAAATATTTATCATAAATGTTACTCCGTATAAAGTGAGTAAATAAATACACACACATTTATTTGTAATATAATACGTAATTAATTGTATTATAATTGTTGGGAATTTTGAAACACCGTACATGATGATAATATGTTTACTTATATTTTTACTTTAATTGTCTTCAATTCACAAAACTTATTCAAATTGAAGAATTATTAAAATTGGTGATATTAACTTTTAACAAACACAATACTCCAGTGTTGCGTGCGTGTGTGTATCATATATCATTGTGTGCGCGTAGATATATATAGACTTAGGATCAAATGAGAACAACGTTTTAACATGAGAACGCGCGAACATCACGTTTACCCCCAATGTGAAGCAGCTCGTACAATGCACTTTTTTGTATCTAGCATAATATTTACAAAAGTTCCACCGTGATTATTTATATTGGCTTGTATTGAGCGAAGTCCAAATGTGCACTAGAATGGCTCTATTGTGTATCACATTGGATTAAATGTGAGTGTTCCTACGTTAAGCATCGTTTTCATTGGAATCACATTACATATATTTATAATAAGAGATTAAAAGTATATGCAAATACGTTAATTAAATTTATATGCGGGCACCCGTGGGGGACAATGGGGTGGGCAGGGATGGGGTGGGTCTGGGAGTAACGGGGGATGGGGCGGGGATGGGGGAGACTTTTTAGACATGGGGCGGGGATGGGGGAGTGTACCCCCGCCCCAAACCCTCCCCATTGTCATCCCTAAATGCAACCGTGTATCTTTTTTGTGTATAGGGTGTGTGTGTATCATACTATCATTCAGTCTGAGCAAAACAGTTTGATTCATTCGAACCAAAATTCAAATTAGCACTTCCATCTAGTTTCAGTTTACCGAAGTAAATCATTTGGTAAGAATACGCTCAAATCAAATGGTTCAATTTGGTTTGATTTTAAACTTGAAATTCGAGAACCAACTTGAATAGTGTTTGTTTTCAAAATACTTTAAATGTCTTATTCTTTTCATCGGCAGGCTATAAGTATATAATGTAGGATATTTTTACTTGCCTATTTTCAGTTGAAACCAGACCAGACTTACACAAATCTAGTTACTAGATGTCTAGATCAGACTTACACAAATCAAACTAGATCAAACTCTGATAGTTGGAAAATTAAGGTCCAATTAAAAACATGAAAGTAAATATGTTTAATACATACCATTTTAATTTTATATGTTTCAGGTGTAAAGATTTCAAAATTTTCATTAAACGCTATATCAAAACACGTATTCAATTTGAATTGACACTATATTAAAAAAAGCGACACTAATAAATAAATAAATTTTGCAAGTTATAAAAACCATATGCATTCACTATACGATGCTCAATTATTACTTCCACACAATCTATATTCAACTACGTAGTGTTAGTGGTGTTACAATTCCGACACGATCTTTGTAAAAATAAGTAATTATAGAAAAATAAGGTTCCGATCTTGGTCCATTTTTTGGGATTGGCCGGTGCCGGTCCTGATACCGGTCTCACTTTGTTTACATTTGAAGTTTTGAACCATCGGGAAGCTGTTTAAGAAGTTTTTTTTGGAAGAAATGAAACTTAAATTGATATCACAACATTCAGATGATGAGGCCCTCAGATAGAGTCATAGAGAGTAAACAGACAAAAAGAGCACAAACAATCAATAACCCTCGAACCAGACTTAGAGTCGATCACTTTCAAAAAAGTGATATAACTCGTTAATTGTGTATTGGGCATAAATAAGCAAAAACTTAAAAGTTTATTGACTTTTAAAAACCTTGACCGTTGTAGCCGGAAGTAGGCCTGGACTCGGGCCGGGCGGCCTGACCCGGAACCGGCCCGGCCCGGCCACTGTAGCAACCGGCCCGGCCCGGTGGCCCGGTCCACCAGCGGTTCGGGTCGAACCGGCCCGGTGGTTCCCGGTTCCGGGCCCGGGCCTTCCAAATGGTGAACCGGCCCGGCCGGTTCGGGCCCGGTCCGGGCCGGATTTTAATTTTTTTTTTTTGTTGAATTTTTTTTAAAGTTTTGGGTTGGAATAGGTATTTTGGGCCATTTGAGGTGGTTTGGGGTTGAGGGGGAGGGGTAGGGGATTAAATAGGAGAACCAAAAAAAAAAAAAAAGTGGGCCGGTTCGGCCCGGCCCGGCCCGGCCCGGTTTGGCCCGGAACCGGGACCGGAACCGGCCACCGGCGGTTCGGGCCCGGGCCTCCCATTTCCTGGCCCGAGGCCCGGCCGGGCCCAGGCCCGAACCGGGCCCGAACCGGCCCGAGTCCAGGCCTAGCCGGAAGGTCGTTCCGTCATATTTGGGTGTGATTGAAACGGAAGGTTGGCACGGCCGTGAGGGGATTGCCAACCTTGACCTTCCGTGCGGTCAAGGTCGGTCGTGCCAACATTCCACTAAACACAGTAATAAAAGACTTTCAATCACAAATGTTAAAACTACACAAAACAAGAGAAACCTGTTTTGTTCTAAAATTCGATACCGGACTTGGCCTACACAGAAAAATTTAAATCTACATTATCAAGTCGTTGCTCCATGCCTCCAGGCTCCATCTATAATATACACTCAATACATTTCGTAACAAACAAATGAACGAGCAGAAAATATATCTTCATCAATGAAAGCATTCTATAATTTACATTATATCCACATTTTATTCTATAATTTACTACACCGTATAATATAAAACCATGTATACAACAATGTGTTTTAAATGAACTTTTTCCAGTAATATCGCCATATTCATTCATTGCACTACATGAATTCATTTCATAACTGAGGTGCTTTTTTTAAGAGTAAGAAAGAACTTGTAGACGAACTGTGTTTATATAATACTAGTAACTCACCCGTGCGATGCACGGTTGGAGAATTTTTCATTCAAATTTATTTTTGCTCACTAATTTAAAATATATTATCAATTGATGACAACATCTATCTCCATGCAATATTGATATAGCGCAAAACAATAAACGAAACACACTTATAATATTATGATTAGAAAGAGGGCATTAAGCATTACATAAAATATAAAAAACATCCAACAAATAAGTAGAAACCATAACATTGTAAATATGCATTTCATGTAACTCTAAACATTGTTGAATACTTCTTTGAATACAACATTCTAAGTCTTGTCAGTGATTCCTTCATCTTCATCAACAATTAGAATTTTAAAACCACAACGATTGGTAACCATTGATACTGCAACATACGAATGTCTGTGGTTAATTAAACACCGTTTTTTTCAACAACAATCCAACACGGGACAAAGATTGACCTTGACTTTTATTTATAGCAATAACATACGAAGTCATAACCTCGGCTATTTTGACTGATTCTGTTGAACTTTATGAAGTTCTCACTGAAGTGGCTGCATTGGCTGATTCGGCTGATATAAGAAAAAATTATTTTTTAAAAAATATTTTATTAATAAAATATAGAAAAAAAATAGATGTAAAATAGCTAAAATGGTCATCTACACTAAATTCAGCCAATATAGCTAGAAAAGTAACTCTAACTTTACTTTTTTTTGCTTATTACACAATTCAGTGTGTGAAAGTAAAAATTACGTGTTTAATGAAAAAGTTGACTGATAGACCTGATAAGCTGAAAAACAGGATTGCCAAACGGCCTAGCTCTAAGATTGTTTTTAATAGATTTATAGCTCTTCATTCCAAAATGTGGAATGTTTCCCACTCTTAACGAAAATGTACACACACAGAAAAACATCGAAAATTGAAATTTTTATTTAATTCTTTTCTCGGTTTTTAGCTTTTCAAATAAACAGATATTAGATGCCTACTTTTTAAGCTTTGTCCAGCCAATTATCAAGATAACTTAATTTTAAATTATTTTCCTAAAACTGTAGAGACTTGTAAAAGTTTTAATTGTTTAAGCAGACACGTGGTATTAATGTCAACCCATTTGTCACACATGCTAACGTGCTACTATACTCCGTATGTCCCAACCTCATAAAACACACCCACACAGTCAAAATAAAATCATGGGAACCTTTGAGAACACTGCCAACCTTACTAATAATTTAGACCAACCAACCCAAACATTGTGAGCGTAAACCAACCACAAAGTAACCTTATCTCCCCAATCCCAACCTAAATCTAACAATCCACCTCTACCACTGCTTACAACCAAAGCAAGCCGGACATCCGGTGCGGTGTCATTCTGAAAGTCTATACATAGCGTATACTCATAACACAAAAGCCCCGTAGCATACAACCCTACTAATCGTAAAGCATACAACCAATATCAACTCCAAAGAAAGCATGGACAGAGCACTGTAATGACCGGTCTGGATATTAAGATCCAACAATTCACAAAGGGCGCAACAACAGGTTAAGATCCAAACATATAACCTTTTCTTATTATAGTTGCGATATGTTTCAAACATCTAGAGAAGTAATGACCCTTCTTTACAAATTTTTGTAGGATTTTGTACCCAGAAGCGAACATATTATTGCCGGAAGGGAACTCAAAATGAAAACTACATGCTATAAATTGATCCTCAGCTCGTGTGGTTGCCTCTACACTGCACTCCCTTGGGGACTTGATAAGCTGTTATATACTATGTATAGTTTACCCTCCAAGAATATGTCATCGTGGTTTCACACTACACAATCAGTACACATCTTATTATCATGACCATCTTTTAGAGAAACTGCATCCATGGTCCATGGACTCATGAATAAACATGGCGTTTTATAAAACCGAAGAAAACCTTTTATGGAGATAACCTTTTGGGATGAGAAACCTGCCAATGCGGACAACCTTTTATACGCGAAGATACGCTGTGATAGTCGGTAAAATAATAATAATACATAACGTTCACTAATTGACCACCCATTCCGGCCACAGCAGGCCCATACCCATCACTGTTTGACCACCCATCCCTGCCAATCAAACCCGAGTGTATATAATTAACCAATCAGAATTTAGATGAATAGTAGCCACCTCCCTCTAGAGCCAATAGGACTCCTTAAAACACAGGCACCGCCTTTTCCCCCAATAGGAAAAACACTCGTAAAACTAATTAATATCAGAACAGGGAACGCATAAGGTAACAATTCGTAGCTTCGAAACTTCTTTGGACCGAGTAAACACGCAAGACCTGACATTGACGTTTCTAGGCGGGAAAAACATGCTTGGAATTTCTTTTGCTTTTAGATAAGAAGAGATGTGAAGAAAATACAAATGCAATATATCCAAAGATCATTTTCTAAAAAAAAAGGAAAATGTCAAGAGAAGTTCGGGTGTATGAGTGTATGACACATAGCAACTGGGGTAGTAGTCTGTGATCGAAATTGCTCTTACACAATCATCTTGCTTAATTATCTAAGGAGCTTCGCTAATTATCATCATTATTGTTACTAATAGTGTAACAAAGGGAGCATTTGGGCCTGCAAATTGACGGCATACATTAAATTTACTACACAGTTCTTTAATCGGTCATGTCAAAGATCTGAATCTAAGCATTGCATACCGTTTACCAGTATGGTAGTTTTAATATGTAGTATATCGTAGCATTGAAATTCTGTGATACCATAGTAGAAATATGGGTTGAGCTTATGTTCAGCTCTAATAAATGTAAAGATAACTAGCTTTGAGAAGAGTGAATAGGCCAGAGGGAGAACTCAATTAAGAAGAGAGCAATTATTTTCAAGAAACACCAACTTCTTGGAGACCAAATCTATATGAATAATTTGAGCCACAATATACAGAATACATATTGGTTAATTAAATGAAGACCCTACCCATACCAAGGTAAAAAAAAGGAATGACACGTTGCGAAGATGAGAATATACTGTATGACACGATCCCTTGCAAAATTATCATTATACACTTCACATCACTATAAGCTTACTTGCCTTTGTATTATTAACTTTAGTGATAATCTGCAGTTTCAGCCAGGTGTCGTAGGATTATCTTCTTTGCTATGTAATGCCAGTGTTTTGGTACCACAAAGGATAAAATTCACACCGATATCATCTGATATTGACCAGTGACCTGTCAACGGGTTGTATGTAAATCCACCCATCTCTTGGACCTATAATAAATAGTATATATGTCAAACAAGACTGAGGGAATTATTCACAAAATTCCCACAAAAAAATATGAGTTTCTCGATTAAAGACGGGCTCACCGATATAGAACACCGTTGTAGAATCAGAACTAGTTCTTCTGGCGTAAGAAAGCTTGACCATTGATGTGTACCTTTAGGAAGCTGCAAAATGTCATTTATAGCATTAGGCACAATTTTTTGGTTGGCCTGTATAGATAATTACAGTTTATGGTCTCTAGCAAAGAGAGGTACACAAGATGACTAAGAGCCTGTTTGGTAAACCCATAATTTGTCTTGTGATCAGCTCAGTTTTTTTCACCAAACTCTTTAACTTATACATAGTATGTCTCGGCGTTAGCTAGATAGGCTGATAATGAAAACAAAAGTTAGCTAGATAGGCTGATAATGAAAACAAAAGTTGCGCAGAAGGCACATTTCATAGTTATTATTTCTGTAAGTTTATTTAAGAAATAAATTTAAAAAGGATTGTTTAAGGATGACACAGGAAACACATCAGCAGATTCAGCCTCTAAGGCATTCTTATTAGATGGTCCCTACATATCGCTTAGCGGAGTACCAAATAATGGATAAAAATGGCTGCCACGTTAGACATCCAAACCACATACCCAGTGCAGGATATACTCTGCTGCGAGAATTGCAGTGGCATAAGCCCTCATTGAACGGTTAATTGTTGATATCACTGTAGCACCACTAGCAACTGTCAACTCTGATAAGGATTTGCAGAACTCACTGGGATCAGCTACATGTTCTATCACCTGGTACAAAAATAAACGAACACATTGGTAGGAAAAAAGCTCATGTGTAGAAAAAGGCGCAACCCAGTGCACATTGACGTCCCCACAAAGCACGGGTCCTTGCCATCACAAGGGTGTATAGGGGTGCAAGCCTTCTCTTTTCGTTTTTTCCCAGAGGCTGGTCTGGAAGACATGAACCCATGACCTCAACACCTTAATAGTGCGTCAAGGCTCTCTTTCAAAAAGCTCATATGTATAATTGGAAAATAATTAAAAAAGAAAAACAAATAAGAAACACTAAAAGGGCAGCCCGGTGCACGTAGGCATCCCCGGAAGGAGAGGGTCCGGGGAAGGGTCCCACCTCTTGCCTGTCAAATTTTGACAAGAGGCCGCTCCCAAGGCTCCCATTCTAAATAGCTACACAGCAACAACAACAACAACAACAAAAATTACACAACAAAAAAACTGAAAGGGCAGATGAAGGAGGGCCAATGATTCCGTATTAGATTCTAATATGAAAAATTCCAACCAATGAAGTTACTACAGTGATTTCTAAGCATACCTCTAGAGCAATTACAGCATCAAACTGCCTCTGTTCTTCCACCAAATTTTCTGGCCACATTATTTGCAATTATGTCATCTCTTGAAGATATATACTTGGGGGGGTTGACTAGTACAAGGGTTTACATAGAGGAATCAGATACGTATGTAACTAAATAACTAATATACAAATCTAAAATATCACAAATGTAGAAAATGGTCAAATTGGTCAAATGAAGATCGAGTGGCAGATTGGAATATATCACAAGCAGCAACTGCAGCAGTGCAGCACAAATTACTATATAAGGGAAAAGGTAAAACGAACAGTAAGCATGCTGGAGGAATAGAGAAGGTGTGACCACAGTTTGACATGATGCAAGTACATTAGTTACAGAGTTCACCAAGGGAGTGTTTGCAATTGCTTCAACTTTAAAAAGTGTTCTTTTAAAGTGATTTAAAAGAAAGTGCTTATTTGTAAAAGTTGATGGTGTTTTAGAATAGAAGTGATTGAGTTGAGAAAATAAAAGTTGCAGTGTTTGATAAAAAAGTGATTATTGATGTAATAATTTGATAAATTACAAATGTGCCCCTCTGCAAATTAAATGATGAATTCGTCGAATCTATCAAATCTTTAAATTGGGAAACCAAGCGACTAATGAAAATCACCGCGTATCTCCCTGAAATCGCCACCCACCTCAACATATATATACAGGCCAATAGGCAGCATCGGAAAGCTTCCGCATATTTCTAACAAAATTCAAGCGAGCAATCCATATGACGGTCTTGTCGGCGGATCATGTAGTCATGTTAATTACCTTTTACTTGCAATAAATTGGAGATTTCTGCAAATACATTTCCGGTAAAGCCTCATGTCAAGCTCTCATGGATGAAGAGAACTGCCGTGCTTTGGAATGAGGGAACAGAGGTTACTGCGTAAATGAGGGGGCTGGGAAGACGAGAGAAATAAAGGGGTATTTTGGGTTGAGCATAATGATTTTAACATTATAATTATCATTAAAGTTGAACTTATTTACAAAAAAAACAAAAGCAGTTAGAAGCAGGTATATACCAGCTTCCAGTATTTAGCTTTAAGTGCTTTATTTAAGCAGAAGCAGAGAATTGAAAACACTCATTTCAGCTTTTTTAAGTTAAAAGCTGAAAAGTGCTTATTTTAAGCCTTTGCAAACACTCCTTAAATCACGTGATAGATGGTTCAACACTTCAACTGAGGAATTAATGGGTTAAAAAGCAGTTCATCACATATTCATGTGGCGAGTTTACTAAACCAGTATCATATTCAATAAGTCCAAAACCTTATCATGAAGCATCTTGGAAAATCCAACAAGAATAAACCAAAAATGACAAAAAAGAAGACAATCATGCAGAAATATCATTCTAAACAGTAAACATACCAGCAGTAGTGCAACGATATTCGACTGATGAAGTTATTGGATCCAAATCCTGAAGGAAAAATAAGTAGTTGTCTTTGACAAACAATACTCATTTGCGTCATGAATATTTCGAGAAGACTGATGGATTATAAAACATACCGCATGAATACGCGCAATCTTGATGTTTTTATCAATAGCATCAATTCCCATTACAGTAGCACCCATTCGAGCCAGAGGCTGCACCGATTAAGAGCACATTAACTGTATTCATATGCTGGTACTTACACAGTTACATGAATGAATGCAATAAAAGAAAATACTCCTATTGGCTGTCAATAAAAATACCACAACATGATTTGATTTTTTAATAATATGTTTTTCAAATAGCTGGCATGCTGAATGTAATTGTTGACAGCTTGGCATGTCACACAAACTATTCAGGACTTCGGATGGCATACCTCAGATAAAATCCCCCCTCCACAACCAACATCCACAAACTTGAGTCCTTGAAAAGGTTTGGGAGAATAAGGATCCCTCCTGAAAGATAAGAGAAAGAAATAGTTATTAGCCCCGGGAGAATTTTATAAATAAACACATAATTTTTATCAAAACCTTACCATATATTTAAGGGTTAGGACCATGTACAAAAGATGAACCTTTTTTAGAATAAAAAATGGTATCAGTCCAGTTATTGATTCAATTATTTGGGGAAAAAATGTACTGTATATGTGAAAGATAAGAGGATACTACTACACATCATGACTAATTTTTATCAAATTTACACTAAAAAAGCTAATGCTGATAAATTAAAAGCAAATGAGAGATGAGAAACTGTATTATCACCCCCTACGTGATACCCCAACAGAAAAGCACTTGTCCTTGCAGAGAAATGCATATATCAAATGTAGGAGGGCGCATGAACACTAAAAAAATAATTTTCATATCAATTATCTAAACATTTTAGGAAATTACCCGAAATGGCGACAAAGTGTGGACCTGATGAAAGCTAGTCTTGTAGGATTCATCTTATGCAATGGCTTAAATGGCCCTTCCGAGTCCCACCTAATGTGTATTGTCATTAAAATGTGCAAGAGATGTTCTGTGAGAGAAAAATTGGCGACATCATAAGAGAAAAACGTATATCACTAACCAGGTTTCAGCAATGGCCGAGAACTTGGAAAGTTCAGTTTCATTGAGAGAGCTATAGACAGGCTTCGACTTTGAATCTTTCAGGGAAAGATTGATTGGTTGCTGAGAAGTTGCTGAATAAGGTCGCGAGTAAATGAGAGATTCAAGCCTCGAAAATGGGATATATGGAGTAGATATAGCATTTCTTTGAAAGTGATGTAGAGTCTGGATCGATTTAGCGAACTCGATTAGCGTTTGGTGGCGCTTTAGCAGAAGCTTCGAAGTCATGGCAGAAGCTTCAGCTACACGGCGGTTAAACGTACCTGAAGCTCTAGACAAGATGATGAGGGCTGAGTCCCAAAAATATAAATAAATTGAACCTCAACCAAATAAAATCGAAGAGCTAAAAATTGACAAACAAATACTATCTTAAAACTTTGTCATTTTGACCGGCACGAGGATTAATAAAGTAAAAATTGTGTGACTGGGGTTATGCAGAGGAGAAAGAATTAAATGAAACCACAAATTTTTTTACTTAAACGGGAAAGTGGCAAAATTGATGGGACATCCAAAAAAGGAAAGTTGGCAAAGTTTTAAGGGACGGAGGGAATACTTCGTACAAAAAACTGAACCGCAGTTGTATGGTTCTGCTTTCATTTTTTATCTTCAAAACCGAATCGAATCGGATAAACCAAACTAACTAAAATATAAATTTTATCTGTTAAATGTTAAATAATCATGATATCATCAATAGTTTTAGTTTTCTTGTGTTAGAATTTCTTTTTGTTATGTTTAATTGAGTTTATACATGCATTTACACATTTATTACCAATTATAATGTAACTATATTCATCTTTATGTCTTTTATTATACATGAATAGTGGCGGATTTAACCTTTACATTTTAGATGTTCGAATCTAAATTAAAATTACAATTATTTCAATAATCACATCTAATGCTATAATTCAACAATACCAATACTACTGTCCATTACACTTTCCAAACCTGTTTAACAATAACATAAAATATATAATGAATATTTCTCAATAAATCATTCCCATTAACACAAACTATATCCCTATAAAATCATACCAGTACTACGGAAATATTAATAAGAGTAATCTTCCGGTCAGGTATACCTGACCGGAGCCGTCGTCCGGCCTCCTCCTTTTGGGGGCCTTCCCGGTGGTATTTTTTGCTCAAATTTTTTGTGTATGTTCCTCATCAAGTCTAGTTTATCCATACCAAATTTCAGCCAAAAATTCAATCGGGAAGGTCGTCAAATGATTTTTGCAAGTTAACTGGTCCGGAATATGTATTTTCCGGACCAGTTAACTTGCAAAAATCATTTGACGACCTTACCGATTGAATTTTTGGCTGAAATTTGGTATGGATGAACTAGACTTAATGAGGAACCTACACAAAAAATTTGAGCAAAAAATACCATCGGGAAGACCCCCAAATGGAGGAGGCCGGACGGGGGCAGTGGTCAGGTATACCTGACCTGAATATTTCTCATATTAATAATACATCAGTTTCACAAATCACAATTCATTCAATTTAATGCAAATTTGATTGTAGATAGTTGTTCCCCGCCCACTTTCTACTGACAAATGACAAAATGCTAGTCCACTTTACTTTTTTTGCTTTTAAGTGCTCCATATCAATTACGGAGTACTACTTCCATTCCAATTTTATGTCTCCCATTTAGTTTTGGCACAATTTTTAATAAAGTGATTGAAAAAATAAAAGTTGTGGTTGAGATTTGAGTATAGTAAAGTGAAGTACTGTGAACCACATATTTCTTTCCAAAAAGGGAAAGGTGACACTTATTTTGGGACAACCCAAAAAGGAAAGTAAGACAGGTAAAATGGGACGGAGAGAGTAGTTCATACTCCATTACCCATATCCCCTATATCACTATCCACAATCAGGGCCGGTCCCGATAAAATGTAGACCCTGTGCGAGAATAAAATTTGGACTTTTTTCTAAGTTGCAACACAAGCAAATTGTTTTAAAATACAAGTTACTAATAAAGGTAATGATAAACATTAAAAATTATACTAGTATAATTATAATTTATCAACCTGAAGTTACCTAATAATATATTTATACCACTTTCTTAAAGTTGAATTGTCAAACACATTTACATATTTATTATCAAATTCAAATAATGGTTTACTTTAACTACAAAAAATCAAGAAATAACAATTAACTACAATACATCAATTCAACAAACATGAAATCATAAAATAAACAAATTACAATAATTCAACAAACAATTCAACAATTCAATAATTCAAATATTCCCAAGAATTAGCAACTAAATGAATCACAAAGCTGAAAATCAGTGGAGAGTGGAAAGACCGGACTGAGGGGCTCAGGGAGGCGGGCAGGCAAGTTGCGGTGGCTGGCGGGGGCGTGGGGCAGTGCCGCAGTGGGCAGTGGCGGCCTGGCTGGGCGGCTGGCGCTGGGGTTGGTGGCGGAGCCGCGGAGGATCGAAGTCAAGGGCTTCACTCCAAAGCAGCGGGATAGCGGCGAAGTGGAAGCATCGTCCTTCTTCTGATTTCTTTATCGGCCTTTTTTGTGCGCAGGTTGATGATCGACGATAATGGAGTCGGGGGATTTTGGGCGCAGGTTGATCGGGATTTGGGGCTTTGTGCGCAGACTGAAGACAGGCGGATGATTTTGGGCTGGGTATAATACTAATTTTTTTTTTGCCTTTCAAAATTTCGGGCCCTGTGCGGTTGTACTGGGTAGCCATGCCCTGGGCCGGCCCTGTCCACAATGATGTCATCAAACCACAAGTTACTTGGCGTGTACCCTTCTGACTATAAATAGCAACATTCTCCTTTTGAAAAGGGGTCGAAATTTTTGTATTGTTATTTTGCCAAAATATTTATGCATCTTTCCCCTTCTATTTTTACTCACACTTCTTCTTTATAAGTAACTATAGCTTCCATGATTCATCACTATCAATTAAGCTTTTATAGTATAATCAAATCACTTAATCAATTTGGGGATTGTGCCCTCGTACTAAAAGCATGCTATCAAGCATACGAATAGTAAACAAACATCCAATTATTCCATCTTGAAAATTAGTATTCTCTTACCAAGTCACCTAAGGTCCTAAACTGTCATTGATGTTTAATGACATCTGATCTACTTCAATATTCTATTTGCTTCTCTCTTCCCTTCATGACTTCAAACCCCTAATTTCTCCTTTATCACGTTGCATCTCCTTTTTTTCCGTTGCTTGTTTCTCTACTCTTATTTGTCACTCTATGTCTTTATGGATACATAAAGAGTTAATAGGTAATTGGAAACTAAAATCATTTGCAAAATCCAGGTAGGAGAACATTGTGTTACCATGGGGAAAAACAACTACGAAATAAATGTGAGAAGTTCGATCTCAATGACAATGATGCTGGAAAATGATTGTGCAAAAATTGGTTTGAATAGTTAATAGTATATAGCGGTAAAGAGAATAGATACGAAGTTGTATATTTGATTGTGTTTTCAGTACACCATTTACAGTTGAATTTATACAACAAAGAGAGCAACAACAATTCCTAAATACAAGGCACTACCCCAACTACACATCAGAATAGGATAAACAGATGTGAACAATTCAAAACAACTAGCTATAAGCCTATAATAACGGAGGAGAAATATATGTGGTTGTTAAGCGGAAATTTATGGATCCGTCCACTGTACAGCCGGTGGCATTTTTGTAATATAATGTGAAAATCGAGGTTTCTATTAAATGAGTAATGGTGTACTGTTAAGGAGCAATAGTCCAATTTTAATGAGTATTAAGAGTCTAATAATGAGCACCTCGTGTTACAACAAGAACGTAGAAACTACAACTAAAAAACGGTGGCATTTTCGTAAATTCAGTGAAAATCGTGGGTTTTGTTAGATGAGCATTAGTACACATTTAATGAGCATTAGACGTATGCTACTCAGTATTAGGAGCCTCACAATAATCATTGTGATTTCTGGTTCATATCTTCTAATTCACTTTCTTTTTCTTATTTTTCTTTTATAAAAACTTATTAAATTATATCCATAATCAACTCCTGTGAACTTCAATATGTGAATCTAATGTAATATGATAGTTTTGAAATGAGTCAATTCCCTAAATAGGACTAAAAAGTGGCAAAATTGCACAAATAGGACTACATTTTTTAAATCCCCTTAATAGGACTATTTATGTGTGTTTGGACAAATATATTCTTGTAGCTTGTGAAATGTTTTAATTAATAATAAAATCATACAAAAATAATAAAAATCGAAACAAGTACTAAAAATCATTAAAAAAAATAATAGAAAATTAATAAAAATATTTTTTTAAAAAAATTAAAAAAAAAAGTAAAAAAAAAAAAACCTTACCACCCCTGCCACCCCCAGCACCACCAGTTCCCATCACCGGAGAAAAATATGCCAACATTTTAAATAATGCCATAATGATGGCATATTCAATGAAAATGTTGGCATATTGAAGAGTAATTATGCCATCTTTTTGGCATTTTCAGAAAAAGATGACATTTTTTTTACCAAAAGTGGAAGAAATTTCACCAATCGGAGTTGGTGGTGCTGAGAGGAGGCGGGAGGCGGTGGGAAAGGTATCCATAATTATTTTTTTATTTTTTATGGGTTTTTACTATTTTTTATTATTTTTTTAAAAATGAGCATAATTTGAGTACAGATTGAGCATATGTAACTTACTAAATGAGCATTGATATGAAACTCATAAGTTTTTTTGTTGAGCATCACGACAATTTTGTGAATCTAATGGATTATGATATGTTTAACATGTGCAACCTTTTAAAGTGAGCATAAAACAGTACAAACTGAGCATACATAACCTACAAAATGAGCATCAAAATATTAAAAAAGTCATTTGTGTGTGCTCATTCGTTTTGGACGTTATACTCATTAAGTTTAACATATAAATTCATTTTCAAGTATGCATGAATATGACATTTTAAAATGAATATTGCAATAATATCAAATGAGGATACATAAATTATGAAATGAGCACCGATAAAATTGAAAAAACTCATTTAAAATATGTTGTGTGCTCAATTATTTAGTTCAGTATACTCATTTTGTTTCTTTTGTAAAGGTATATATGTGGGGCGGTGCACCAGTTGAATGAACGATAGCAACAAAACTCAGACCACTCGAATTAAATAAGTAGGGCTACTCAATGCTTATTGGATTGATTTTGGTGGAGAAGAATGAAACGATCCACACCAGTGCATCCTCCCCACTAATCCACACCGATTCTTCCTACTGGATGAATCTGTTGGAAAAATGTGTGAAAAATTGCATTAAATGGCTATTTTGGGGCAATTTTTTGAGTGGGGTCCACTTCCGATT